TTCAGATGATGGGACTGGGTTTTGGTGGATTTTTGTGCAAGGGGATGTTAGGTTGATTGGTTTTTCCACTTGTAATTAGCTGAAAGAAGCATAGAGGCGACCATGCAAATAGAAATGAGAGTGGGTATATGTAGATGGAATTCCATCACCATGGAATAGGTGATGGCTTTCACATTTTGTGGTTGAAATTCATGCACGATGGCCAGGCAAAAACAGGCACGAGAGGAAACTCAGCTTAGCAGTGGAGATGTTTTTAAAAAATGTGATTAATTTTGATTAAAAGAGTTAAATAGTTAATAAAAGGTGATGAGATATGAGGATCACATGGTCAGAATCATTGAATATTACTATGGGCTAGATGGGAGAAAAGATTGAGATGTGAGGGAAAAATCTGTTGATAAATGATTTAAGCGTGTAGCAGAGTGGCTCCAAGGACATTTTCCAAATGTACAGATGCTGCTTAGACTGAAGAAAACATATCTCTGCTTCCTTAAACCTAAAAGGTGTGGTTTCAGCCCTAAGGCAGTTGCTTGAAGGCTTTTGTTGGCCAACCCCATGTAAATCCCAGTGTTGGGTCTAATTTGGAAATACACTTTTTGAACTAGGGACGTTGCCTTGGACCTGGAGCTTTCCTACCTGATGGGCTCCACCCCAGGCAGTTTCTGTCCTGTTTGCTCTGTGTTCAGCTCTCACAGAGCCAGTCTAGGGCCAACAGGCAGTAAAACTTGAGTTTTATAGGTCTAACCCAAGATAGCAGCTCTTGGGTGCCATCAATTACAGCCCTGCCATTAAGCGCACTTTCTCTTTTGAAATGAAAGATGCTCAGCTTGGTTGTTGCTCATGGCAATTTGGGGAGTGTTTGCCAAATGTGTTGAAGAATTCATTAGGAATTTATAAAATCTCTTAATCTGCTCCTAACTTTTACCAGTTTGGTTTAGAAATTGTCCTTTTTGTCACTCTTGTATGGGCTCTGCTGATATTGGTAACAGAAGAAGTGCTGAGGCTTTCTTTGTAGCAAACTCAAATAAAATCCTTGTACTTAGACTATATTTAAAGTAAATTAGTTGTTGATTAAAGTAAGTTTATAACAATTGCTGTGTCTAATTAGTTTGATTATATAGGTTTCTTGTCAACAGTTCTTGTTGCACTTAAAGCTGGGATGGTGCCAGAATAAATCCAACCATTGCCAGTTCCCTGGGGCTGCACAAAATGACAAGAGTGCAGGTTTTTAGTGGCCATGTCTGGAAAAGGAATAGGCAATATTCCAAATTCAGAGCTAAATTGTCATGAAATGGCACATTTTAAGGGAGTGTAGGAATGGGTTTGATCAATAACAATAGGAAGGTCCCTAAATAATACAGATGAACAATATCCTGGAGTGCAATGCCAAGACTCCTGTGAGGGAAATGTGGAGAAAAATCTGTGCCAGTAAAATTCAGTTTAATCTCATCTGGAAACCAAGGCTGAAGGATCCTAATCATAACTAAGAATTGATCAGTAGTGTCGTAACAAGGCAGAGTTCATTCTTTGCACTGTGGTGTGGTGCATTAATGTACCCCTGCTTAAACCCAGCCACAAATTATTGTCATTTGGAATGGAGAGATTTTTCATAATTAGTTTTGGTTTTTAAATTAAAAGACTTCCAGCCTCCTGTTTTAATTATTTTTGTCTTGAAATGTAGACAATTTATTACAAAAGGAAAAAGTTCAAATGAGAGAACCAGAAGGGGTTAGAAGATGGAGAGGAATAATTCATATCTTCAGGTTATGGAGTCACTGCTGAACTGTGATGTATAAATGCAACATCTCTGTCAGTGTTTGGTTCCTTAACATAGGTATTGTTAAATTACATGTGCAGGACCTTATGAATAGATATTCTTAATTTTTAAAAGTTATCAGTTGTTTTATTTATAGTTTGAAATCAGAAAACCTTGCTCTACTCCAAATTAAATTAATTGTACTGATAAATATGGTTAAATTTAGCTTTGTTAACTACTTCTGCTAGAGCTATCCCTCTATTTATCTGATTGTGAGGCTGAAAGAAATAGTAATTTTCATTTGAATTAGAGGTGAGGGTGGTCAAACATTGGCACAGGTTGCTCATAGAAGTTGTGGAGTCTCCTTCTCTGCAGATATTTAGAATCCCACTGGACAAAGCCCTGAGCAAATCTCCAATTTTTCAAAAATTGTGTACAAACCTGACATGTCCATCTTAAATCAGTGAGAAGAATCAACAACTTTCATGTTTGTGGAAGTATTTTTTTGCCTTTTTTTTTAAAAAGTGAATCAAAGGGAGATACATCCTTCAAATTAAAAGGACAATTAAATTATTTGCTATAAAAATGGAGGGATTTTTATTAAAAAAACTCTTTGTGAATGTAAAAATAGGTGAGATTCAAAGCGAGGGGAAGTGGGGACTGTCACACCAGCCTCTCAGTCTGCTCTTCATGCCTGATTTCCCCTTCTGCCAGAGCCACTCGTGGGGGAATTCATGGGCTGTATCCTTGTTTTCCCTGTCCCTGTTCTGTGAGCTGAAAGGAGCACGAGTCCTTATTCACTGAGCCACATCAGTGCTGCTCCTCAGCTTTGCTGCTGGGAAATGTCACCCTGATCCATTGCATAATTCCAGCTGGCCCTCTCTCAGAGGAGAATTGCCTTGCTGGAGTTGCAGGCAAGATGCTGAAATGCACCATTTTTATATCAATTTATAGCTGAACAAACTTGTCCCCACCTCGAGCAGCAGCAGGAGAATGATGCGGTGCAAAATGTTGCCTTGGTTTGGGCATCGTTTTCAGGTCGTTTTCAGATAATAGGAAAAGCCATTCAATAATTGTCCTCCCAAAAATGAAATAATTACCCTGCATCCCAGCTAATCTGAGGCAGGAAGCCTTTCAATATCCTCCAGCTGTTGTGGGAGAGCTGGTGGTGCCAGTTGTACCTGGATGATTCCATCACACATGAACCTGTTCTTAAACTGATACAGGAACCAGACAAAAATTCCTGCTACCCTTTTCCTAGGCAGTTTGGGCAGACCTGATGCTTAAATAGTTTTGAAAACAATGAGGGATATCAAACTTGGCGTAATTCAATTTTTCAATTATCAGTCTCAATGAAGAGTGAAACACAAGAGATGTAAAACTCTACGCCATTCCATCAGAACCAACACATTTCCTGGTTACAGTTCCTTATAAATGTTTTTCAGCCTGTTAGCTTTTGCCACACAATGCTGCTATTGTTTCTCATACCAGTCACCTGTATTTTTTCCCCCATGGTCCTTCTACAATGCATCTTTCACAGTTGATGCATGCCACCTAGTTCCCATCAAAAACTCACTTCTGTTTTTATTCCCCACTAAAACAATATATCTCCCCCCCATACTATAAATCTTTACACCACAAAAAAACCAAATAATCACTATCTTCCCTTCACGAATATAACAGTAATAATAAATTCACTTTACAAACACAATATAGCTCCTCCAATTCCTATTGAAACACACACAAGTACTACTAAATTCCAATCACTCAACCAAAACACATAAAAAATTATAATAACATCTACACCAATATCCAACATACCTATAATATTAATATTATAATTATACCTATATATATATATATATATATATATATATATATATAAATACCTATAATATTAACTGTTTTACCACAATATATTCAACTACAAATCAATTATAACCATTCAGTACATTCTACCCAAAATACATCAAATACTAAACCAAAACTCACACTGGAGCAACCTCTTAATGTAGAACTTTGTTATTATGAAATAATCTTGTTTACATTTTTGATTCCAGTCTTCAGATTTTAGATCCCCTGTGGGTGTTTCGTTGTGCTTTTATTTTTGATTTTCTAGATGTGGGATGAGCTGGTCATTCCTTACCTGCCAGCCAGGGTTTGGAATAAATTGCCTTGGTTTTGAGAGGCCTTTGGTGGTGGCTGTTGGTGCCTAAAGGAAATAGTAAGAACTTGAGGTGATTTGTTTGGTGCCATTTTCCCAAGAGATAGAACTGCTGTGGATCTTGGGGTTTTGTGGGTGATGGGAACAGAAGGAATTAGCTTCTATATCCCACTTTTTTGTGTTTTCGACTAGAAATATGGGGGACACATCAATAAAGGGCAGCCCTGGTGAAATTTTAGCTATTTATTTATTTAGGTGATTATTTATGATTTACCTCTCTGCATTCTCCTTTGCTTCAGTCCTGCTTGATGCCTGGGAATGCTGCTGATGTGCTGGATTACTGATACCATCAGTAAAACCCATTTTTTTCTCTTGATCCTGTTCCTCCCTCCAATTTTGAGTTTAAACTTTCTCATGTTACAACAGCTCCATGTCCTCCCGTCTGCTACAGAGATGTTTAAGTGTCTAAATCATGCAGGAGATATAGCAGGAAAAAAGGGAGAGAACAGGCAATACAGTGGGAATTAGCAAAAACCACTTTTCCTTCTCCCATCACCTTCTGTTTGATTCTTTCTCTCTGAAAATTCATGGCACTGTTAGAGATGAATGTTGTCTTTTTTTTTCTGTTCTCTGTCAGAAACTCTTCACAATCAAAGTTCCTGGTTAAGCCTATAATGATTTTATTTTAGAGAAGCTGTATTTATCCTTCTAAAAACATTTAATATTTTTTCTCTCTTCTGTGTAGCAATCACTGTGTAACACCATTATGTACCACATGTAAGAAATCCAATAATATTTGGAAAATATATCCAACCTCAGGTACCAGGGCATGTAAAGCATCTGCTAAAGGGTTTCCAAGCATTTTTGTTGTCTGGTTTCCAGTTAATTTCCAAATGTATCAGCCATAGGGCTTTGAATTCTGGATGTGCAATCACTGGACCCAGAAAATGGTGCAAACTTGTCAAAGTCAGGAATTCAGAAGCTCCTTCTCCTTAAGGGTTGTTGACCTCTAGTTCTTGGGAATTGTGAAGGGAGAGATCTGTATCAGCTCAGTGTAAAAATATTTTTAATCTTTTGAAGGTTAAAAGGAGATCAATTTACTTTGTGATGAACAGGTAAATATAAGTGAACATAAATGTAAGTGAACATTAATATAAGTGGACATGAATGTAAGTGAACATAAATATAAGTAAATGGGAACACTGATGTGAAGCTACTCAGCACTGTGCAAAAGAGTAGGAAAAAACCACCAAATCTTCAAAGATTGAAGTGTTGGGCTTTAAATGCAGTGAGGGAGCTCAGGACAGTGTGGAAGCCCTGCAGTCTGGGTCTCCTGGTGCCAGGGAGGTTACACAACCAGCCCCAAGTTCATAACTGCTCTTCTCCAATCCCTTTTGCTGACCCCAATTCAAGCTGACTTTTGACTTTATTTTAACTGAATTTCAGCAGCCCTGCACCTTGCAGTGCTGGTTCTGAGCTGGGAAGCAGCTGTGTGGTACCACAAATCATCCTGCTCTGTGTAAAACACAGGCAACTTGTTCACCATTAGCACAGAAACCTCACAGAAACTTCCAAACTGTGCAAGGACCAATTGTCAATAAATGCTGTTATTCCAGGTCTGCCCTTGAGGTTGCAAGGATCCCAGTCTACAGAGACAGAAAAGCTGATTTTTATTCCTATGTAGAGACCTTGTGGAAATAAATTCACAGCATTTTAAGGGTGCACAGCTGCTGCCAGGTGTTTGTAGGGAATCTGATCTTATCTCAGCCCAGGGGTTGATGTATTTTTGATTTTCCTCCCCATATACCATCTCAGGGGGAAGGGGTAGTGAGCAAAGAGGCTCCTTTTTTTGGTTTCCAGCTGGGGTTAAACCATTGCTCTGGCTCCAGAATCCCAGTGAAATTCTAAACACAAATTCTGAACCAGCTGAGGGCTGGTATTTCACTGCCAGCCTCTTGCCAACAGAGCTTCTGGAACCATTTCCCATTTTGTAATGGGAAACTTTATTTAGTTGAGCAAAGTTTTCAATTCTTAATCCTTGGCTAAAAAAGACTCAACTCTTTCATTTTGCAGCTTTTGTCTAAGATAAACAGGCAAAATCTCTGTTGTTTTAGCTTGAAGTCAGTAGAAGGAAGCTGTATCTGCAAAAAGCTGTAACATTTGGTTATAAATTGGGATGTTTTATTCTTGCTTTAGATGTCTTACATTAAAATATTGATTAAAATTATGTAGCAAGGGAATATCTCTGATAGGACCACAGTTCTTTAGTACTACTTTTGGCAGTATTAGGAATTCAAAAGTAAAAAATCACGTGGTTTGAACAACATTCATCCTTGTTGGTTATTTTAAATTTTACATATAACTTGTTTAATTATACTGAGAAAAATTCCTGTGCATCATGGTCCATTTTGTCTTTTGTTTGAGTAATTAGAGTATGAAGTGGAAATATTTTGCAATTTAATTTTAAAAAGTTTTTGTTTTCCTCTGTTTTCCAGTTGAGATGCTGTATTGAAATAGAACACTCAATGGTGATATGGTATTCTAGCAAAGCTCATTGTTCATGTTAATAAATTAGAATATTTAATGTCATTGTTATTCTAAAGGAGTAGTTCAACCTGTAGAACACAGGAGAGTTACATACAACAAATTAAGACTTCAGATAATATGGAAAATCCTGACATTTTAATGTAGAAGGACTTCTTGGGTCTTCCTGCAGAGAAGGGGCAGTGAGAAAAAGGAGGTTTAGTAAACAGTGAGGACAAAAATGGGAATTATTTCCTAATCTAATTTCACAAGTTGGAGCACATCTTTAAATTATGCTCAGAATGTTATCTTTCTTCTTAAAACCTTTTATTAGTCAATTATTTCCCAGTGCAACAATTCTGAAAATTCCCTTTGTAATCCAAACTCAGTATCAGGTCAATACTGGCTTTGCATTGGTGTTTTTAAGCCCTGGTAATGCAGCTGTAGTTTGACCTAGAAACCTATTTCGATCTGCTGGGTGTAACCAGGGCTTTTTAAACATCTGTCTGGGGGTTCTTCTGCATGTGAGTAGCTGTTTGCAATTGAAATGTTATGGGTAAATAATCCAAAGGCACAGGAGAGATGTTTGAAAAAAATTTTGCAAGGGTCATGACTGGGGGAAGATCCTGGCTCAGTCCCTTCCAAGCAGGTGATGGAACAGATTGCAGGTGACCTGTGGGGAGCAGAAGGTCCTTGCTGGAGCTCCCTGTGGTAAATCTCAGCTCAAAGCCGTTCCCTCTGCCCTCTTCCAAGGGTTATCATGCCTTTTTGGGACTACCTAAAAACTGAGGCCAGACAAAACTAAGGGAAGAAAAAGCAGTTCTGTTTATTGAAGGGCCTTCAGGTACATTTCAGGCAGTTGAAGCCCCCAGGGGCTACACCCAAAAATCTACCACGGGTCAGGAGTTTTTATGCAGATGCACACTTGATGCCTTTTTGGGGCTACCTAAAAACAGAGGTCAGTCATAATTAAGGGAATAAAAAGCAGTTCTGTTTATTGAGGGGCCTTCAGGTACATTTAGGAAAGATGAATCCTCCCAGGGGCTACACCCAAAATGGACCCTGGGTCAGGGGTTTTCACACTTTTATAAGTTTGGTCCATTTGCACATTGGGGGTTCATCTGCCAATTCCAGCTCCAGGTAATGAAGTCATTGACCCCAGGTTTGCTCCCCCAAGTCCATATTGTTCCCATCTCTGGGGCCTGAGGCAGTGAGGTGTCCTTGATTGTCAGGCCTGGAGAGGAATTGTTGTGTCTGCCCAAAATGGGAAAGCTGCAGCTGACACTGAGTGTGGGGTTTGGAGCTCTACACTAAAGAGCTGCAGGAGTACAAATATATGGAAAATAGACAAGCTAAAATGCTAAGGCATCACACTCAGTTTTTATTCGTTTTCCCTGCCCAAACCAGGTGTTCCAGGATCCTCAACGCGGCTGGGGAACCGCGCATCTTCAGGCCCCGCGACAGGGACGAGATGGTGAAGAAAGTGATTGAGCCCATGGCCTGTGATGGGCTGAGAACCATCTGTGTGGCCTTCAGAGACTTCCCCAGCAGCCCCGAGCCTGACTGGGACAATGAGAACGACATCTTATCCGACCTGACTTGCATCTGTGTCGTTGGCATTGAAGACCCAGTAAGGCCAGAGGTACGTCCAATTTTTATCTTATATAAAGCTGGACATAATCTGAGTGGCAGGTTTCTCACAGGTTGTATCTCTTTTTTTAATTAGCTCTTTCAAAGAAGCTGAAAATCAGCTTTAGAAATGGGTTTTATCTATAAAAAGCCAAATAATTAAGGTTATAAAATTCAACTATATTTAAATAAAGGAATATAGGGCTTTTTGCACTGCAGGATTGAGATGATCAGCAGAGGTTTTGTAATGCTCCCACATGTTAAAGAATTTTCCTTTAAGCAGTGCAGTGATGTACAACTCTGAAAGAAGGGAAGACAAGTGCAGTGATTAAAATTGCCATGATTATAATGACAGTTTCCAAAGAAACTGGAGTTTTTGCCATTTATTGTAATAGTTGTCACTTTACTTAATATTGTACCTGGGTGACTACTCAGGAAAACTTGTTTTTAATGTTGTATTTGAACAAGGAAAGTCTGCAGTTGTCATGGATATCACATTTACTTGGCTTGTACAAATATATATATATAATTTCAGCTCAACTCAACTTTTTATGTATAAAATTTCAGCTCACTACTGAGTAAATCAGTAGTAGGTGTGCACACGGGAAGCACACCCCTGCTTCTACACTTGTAAATTATATTCCTGCAGAAATACAAAGGGTCGAGTTAGAGAATTCTGATCTCTCTCTTTGGTGCTTGATAATTAGTAGAGAATTATTAATTCCATGTTAGGGTTTGAAAATAGTGACAGTAACTTTGGAACTAGCAGAACACAAACCTAGGTACTAACTGCACAACTGTGCCTTGCCTCAGAATGGATTTTATTGGGTTTTTACCTCAATATGAAGGTTAAAATATAAAGTAAATCTTGTGTAGGTGACAACTGGATGATAAACTCCTTATCTCCACAGAGAGCAGATAAACAGCATCCACTTTATCTGTCATCAGATGGTCTCCTGCTGCTAATCCATCTGTCCCCATGTCTGACATTGCAAGGCTTTCAAAATGTTGGAAAATGTCCTTTAGAAGTTCTGTCTGTAGTGCTCCTTTAATGCTCCAGCTAGCATATAAGGATATTTTGCGGAAAATACTTTGCAGAAAATACAGATATTTTCAGAAATATTTTGTCAATGGGCACTGGAACTGTGAATCAATCCTCTCCCCCTCCTAAATTAAATCATGATCCACATTAGAAAACAGCTTTAAGTCAAGTTCCGTGTGGCGTGACAGACTGAGGGATTGGGGAGCAGTGGGATTTGCAGTTATTATGGAAAAGAGCTGCAAACTCTTCTTTCATGTGATTGTTAGGAGGGTGTTGTATAAGAGAGCTGCTCTTATCTTGTAGGGAATAATTTTTTGGGAGCTTGAGGTAAAAGTGAATAATTCTGCTAAAAATAGAGGGTAGATCTGACTTCTATGTAAAGAATCAAAGATATGAAGGCAGGAAAACATCTTATTTCTCAATAAACACTTGAATATTGTATTGAATTTCTCCTAGGCTAACACCAGAACATGCAGGAACATTTTTACTTTAGTACTAGACACATGATAAAATATTTGCAATTTCAGAATTTTAGCAAATTTTGGACATTTGGGACTTGGGTTTTTGGTTTTTTCCACCTTGTGCCTTTTGACTGTTTCGAAGTGGCAACAACATCATGAAAATATTTAAACCAATATTTAAATTATTACTACTCTGTGCATTATAAGAAGCAGTACCTTAGGGGAATTAAATGAACCAATAAACCCTGAGCCAGGAGAAAAACATAAAGTTCAGAAAACTCTGTAATTTTGGAATATCTGACTTGGTTGGAATATCATAATGTGCATGTGTGAAATCCCCATTGCTGATGCAAAGACCAAGATGTTGAGCAGTTATAGGGAATATTTTGCCAAAATGGAATCTGCTCATTAAATTGACTCCCCACTGGAGCTTATGCATTTTCAAAGTGCTTTCTGTAGGGGGAAAAAAAGAACACAAAAATTATAATTCTTACAAAAAGTGCTGTTTTATCAATATTCTCAATATTCGCGGGTCTCAGGATTTATTTGGATGGAGGTGATAAATCAGGTAATTCCAAAAATAAAGGTCCCAGTCCTGGCAGCCTTTACCTTCCCTTCAGTTACATTCCTGTATTTCTTGGGGAAGAATCAGGATTTTCCTTTTCCCTGGAGGGTGCTGGGCTGTGCCATGGATCCTGTGGGACACAGCTCCTGTGCATCCAGCAGTGATCCCACGTGGGAACACCAGCTGTTTTGGAGGACTCCTTCCTCCCTCTTGCTTCCATGGATATTCTTGGGATACTCAGGGAGCTTTCTGGCACTCACATCTCCCCCATACACTAAAAAACCCAATTTAAATGAGTTATTTAGCACTGATGCCCAGCAACTGTTGAGTTTTTCTCTGGAATACCCACCATGGACACCCATGGCTTTTCCATATTCCCAGGTTAATTCAGACACCAGCTTAGTCATCAGCAGCTGCTGGATATAGCAGGCACTGAACTACTTGCTTGATATTTATATTTTGTGGGTGTGTTTTTTATTTTTCTTTAATAAATACACAGGAAGAGAACAAACAGAGAGATGCCCTTCTCCTGCAGAGATTGTCTGTTGATCCTGACACTCTTTCTGGCTTGATTTTAATGAGCCTGAACTGGCTCACACTGATCTGCCAGAAAACGCCTCCAGTCTGTTATTTCTGGGAGATGAACGTAAATCCCTTCCAAATATCTCCTATTTATTTGTCACCTGATTGGGAAAGATATTCCTGTGTTGGATACTTGGTGCATGCATGCTTGCATTGGAAATTTTTGCTTTGCAGAGGGAAAATAAACCAAAAAATTGTGAAATGTGTACTTAAGCTCTGCAAAACTGATGGAAAATATCTGCTTCCTCTGCCCACTCAGTCTGCCAACACTCTTTCTCCCTTGCAGCAATAAAAAAAAATATGAACAATATTTTAACTGTAATTACTGTACACACTATTAAATCAGATACCACCCACCAGCTGTCCAGAAAATGACAGAAGAGGAAAACAGGATGATTTCTCCAGTTAGACGTGAGTTTGAGACATGTTTGCAACTGGGGCTGTCCTCCCCTGACCTTGTTCAATGGGACTGGCCCTTCATGGGAATAACCCTTTTTTTGCTGCTTGCACTGTAATTTATTTTTCTCCTTCATGGTCCATCCATTGGGCTGGTTTTCCAGATTTCCATCTAAATCTGTCCTGTTCTGTGCATGAGGGTCACCATAGCTCCAAGTGGGTACCAAAAGCAATTCCAATTGGCAAATGTGATTTAGGCAGGATTATGAATGTGGAAACCGGGGAAGTCAGGGGTCATTTGCTTAAAGAACAGACTGAACTTGATCATACATTCCCTTATAGAAACCTATTTCACATCACTAAAAGGCTTCAGGTGGAAATAATTTTTCCAGGGTGTACAATTTGTGGGGAAAATATTCCCAGTTAGAGGTGAGGAAATGGGAAGATAAAGCTCTGTCCCTGAATTCTGCCCTTGATTTTGTGATCTGTGTTGACAGATTTCCTGCAAACAGCACATCCTGTGGACACACTCAGAGTGGAGGGATTTTCCTGGAAATCCTGGGAAAAGTGCTGCTCTGGTCCTCACCGAGGTGTTGGGTTAGGGAGGTATTTTGGAAAACAGGAACTCCACAAAATGCCTTTAATAAATATTCACAAATATGGTATGAAATTACTCCCAGGTTGGAAGAACCATTATCTGTGGTGTGGTGGAGGGGTTTAGGGTTTTCAGTGCCTTCCTGGCCCCAGGAAATCCCTTAAAGCCCAAGGTTTGTCACACTGGCTCAGGGCAAGGGTTGTCATAAAAACCCTCAGCTGTGTCCCCTACTTGTGGCTGCAGAGGAAATGAAAATATCTAGAAATGCATAAAATGAGCAGTGTAATGTTGGAGATGGTGTTTCCTTTTCTCAGCATTTTCTGCACTAATGGATGAGATGAATCCACTCAAATTGGCATTGAGCTGCCCAACACAATTGTATCTGTGCTGGAGGGTGTGATCAGCAAGGTGCACTGAATACAGACAGTAACACCCATTTTGATACCTTTTCTTAAATAGTTGTGGGGTTTTAAAGTAATATTTAATAATTGTGCATTTCTATTTTCTGAGTAGGGCAGTTCACTTCCCTGTAGCTCTGTGGAGGGCTTCAACCTTCATGATGAATCCTGGGGTGCTCTAGACTCTTGTAGGTAAAAATGAAATTTAGAGAAGTGGTGCTGTGCTGAAGAATGACATCCAGGCTGTTCTGGACATGTTAAACACATTCCTTATTCTTCCACTTTAAATAATGCTGTTTTTCTCTTGAAGAAATAATGCTTTCATAACAATAATGCAAAATAATGCAAAAATGTGATGAGACTGAATTAATTGGTTAGTGATATTTACTTAGAAATTATAATTAATTAGGATGCAGTTTAAGGGAATAGAATTTTTTCCCCCAGCTGAAACTGAGCTATACATGGAACTTTCTATAGTCTTCATTTACCAAAGTAAATGTAAAGTTTTATTTAATTATTAGGAATCAATATTTTCTTTTAATTCCTGATTTTTTTTTAAATAAGATGTATATGATGCCAAGTCAGAATGGAGCCCCTACATTAATCTCACACTCCCTGTTATATCGTGAATATATCTCTCTCCCTGATACATTTCCTGTGCAGCAGAAATTTATCTCATGCAGAAAAAGGCATAAGTAAAATCAGGCTTCATTTTAATGATTTTGAAATATGTAATATATTAATTTTAAACTCCTGTATTTAGGAATTACACCTGTTGATAAGCATGAATTAAGTAGTGCTAAATCACAATAACTTTTAAAAGCTTGTTGAAAGGAAGGCTTGGATCAGAAGTAATTTTCTGTACAGAATGTACAGAAAAAATGTATTGTCCATTCATATTTACACATTCTGAGTAGTTATGTTCAGCTTGATAAAGGTCAAAGAAGCTGCAGAGCATTCGTTTTTATTCAAGCCTGTAGAAAGTTGAAGGAACTGATATAAACGATATTTTTTTTTACTTCTTGATAAAAGATTTGCCTTGCTTGTGGAGTGATCCCAACTCCACAACAGTCAAGCAACAATAAAACACATCTGATTCCTCTTCCTGCTTCAGGCATTTCTTAGCCTGAAATTTTTCTGGATTGGAACACCTGCCTTGTGTTTTACCTCTGACTCAGGAATTTTCTTTGCCCTTGCCTTGCTTTTGTGATGCCTTGGAAGGGCCTCCAGGGCAGAGGCCAGGCAAGGTTAGGAGAATAAAGTGGGGATTCATGAAAGCCTTCAGCAGGCACAGGTCGGGCAGCCACAGCCTCCAGAGGCTGCACCCAAGGTGGGCCATGGGCACGAGTTTCTCACACAATTATCAGTTTGGCCATTCACATATCAGGGGTTAATGCTCCAATTCCAGCTGCAGGTAATGAAGTCATTTACCCCCAGTTTGCTCTCCCAATTCACTTTAGTTTATATTTTTTGGGGCCTGAGGCAGTGAGGTGTCCTTGAGTTCCAGGCACAGAGAGGAATTGTTGTATATCTTAAAATGTACACAATTTATTAGTATGGTGGTACCTATGTGTAATCAATAATTTCATCTGACCAAAATATGAAGACAGTTAACTAGCACTCTATATGGAGTTTAGAGTTACAGTAGAGGAATTTTCAAAATACAAAAGCTAAAATCTTAAGGCATCCTCTGCAGGTGCCAGAAGCCATCCGGAAGTGCCAGCGAGCCGGGATCACCGTGCGCATGGTCACCGGGGACAACATCAACACTGCGCGTGCCATTGCCATCAAATGTGGCATCATCCACCCTGGAGAGGACTTCCTCTGCCTCGAGGGGAAGGAGTTCAACAGGAGGATCCGAAATGAGAAGGGAGAGGTAAATAAAACCCGGTGAAAACACCAAAATATTCTCCTGCGCTGGTGTGCGCCTCGTAACAGTAAAGACAACTTGGAAAAACTCCTACTTTTTTCTCCCACTAAATATTTGTAATTCAAAACAGTGGTGAAATTCCATTCTTTGCTCTTCCAAGATCAGTTTAGTGCAGGCCTAACTGTGCAGTTTTTAGAACCACTGCACTACTCCACAAGAAATCAAAATGAAGCCCATTAAAGCAGGTTTATGGCAAGGAGGCGAAGGAATTCAACAGCAATTTTGCTCCTAAAATACAATCTGTACTGAGAACCAGCTCCTCTCATTTCTTTAATTTATTCCACTTTCTCTAATGTACTCATAGCAATGATTTGCATTAAAAAAATCTGTCCTTTGGAAGATTTTTAACTCCTCATCAAAGATGGAGCTCACACACAGTTCTAAAAGAGAAAAATCTATGCTGGCTCTTGAGTCCATCATAAATGAATGGACACAGTCATTTGCTCCCTGCACGGATGGGTGGAATCCTGGGAATGTTAGTAACTGCAACAAGTTTGGCTTTGTTCCTGTTGCTACACAAGAAAATCTTGCCATTATTGATACTAAATGAAGCATTTGGGTTCTCCTGTGGAGTAGAACGACAAACTTGTGAACAGGTTTGATCAGCTTTGAGAAACTCCAGTATTCTTTATCTAGCGTGATGATTCTGAGTGGAATTATCCATAGAGATGATAAGAAAGGCTGGTTAGGTATTGTGGAAAAATTTACCTGTGTTAGCCAGCAGTTGAGCCCTGTTAGTACTGGCCTTGTCTTCACTTGCAGCATGGATCACTGCTGGAATTTTTCTACTCTTTGGAGAAAAGCTGCAGGTTTGAGCAATGAGGGGAATTTTCCGACACAATAACATAAACTCTGCTCATCACAGGCCAGGGGTTTTACTGTCTGGGCTCTTTTTTTTGTGTTCCCCCCGCTGCAGATTGAGCAGGAGCGGATTGACAAAATCTGGCCAAAGCTCCGGGTGCTTGCTCGCTCTTCCCCCACGGACAAACACACTTTGGTGAAAGGTGGGTGCAAACTGCTTGTGGGGGGTGGAAATCAATGATAAAGGTGTTGAAGCACATCATCTGCTTTGATTTCACTGCTACAAATCCACCTGGGTTGTCATCTTTAACACAAGGAAGTTTTCTTGCACTCTTGTGTTTGTGTTCTACCTCAGCCTTGACATGGAAAATAATAGGAAACTCCTTGGCAGGAATAAGAGAAATAGCAATAAGATGCCTGGCAAGTGGATTTAGGCAATCTCATATTTGCCTTGTGACTTTTAATTGGAACAAGGCTCAAGCTGGGAAGGGAAAATGTGCATTTGGTGGCCAGAAAGAAAATATTGCTGGGAAACAAGACAAAAACAAGAGGGGACATAGATTTTTTTTTTTTTTTTTTTGTCTTTGCCTGCACTGCTTTATGAGGAAAGCAAGAGCAATCTCATTCAGAGTTAATCCAGTCATTCCAGTGCATGTCTTCTCTCACAGTTTTCTTAAACAGTATTCCAAGAGGAAAAAACCTTTTCCTGTCACAGCAGCAGTTATTGGGATGGTGGAGTTGGGAGCTGCCCAGTGGAGATGGGAATTTTCAGCCAATTCCATTTTTCCTATAGGCTAATCTGACTGGGTGATTTGCATTGGCTTCCTTTAGATTCCTGTATTTTTAGAATCTGCCCTGTGGGAAGTGCACCAAACAAACTCCATTCTCTCCTCACACTGTCTGCAGATGAAATGCTCCCTTTAAAGATGGTTTGCTTGGTAGTTTCCTTCTTTCTCTTGATGACTTGACATCTTATTCAGTTGACTTTGAGGCTCACGTTTCACAGCTGGTGAAATCAGGCAGTGTCTGAGCAGGAATAACATCATTTTTGGCCATGCTCAGGTAGAAGCCCTGTCAGCAGGTTGGTGTTTCCTGATGAAGAAAGAGCTGGAATACTTTGCTAAGGCCCTGGAAAGTCTGGAGAGCCCCTTTTAGCAATTCTTGGAGCAGCTAAAGTTCAGGCTAAGATCCAGCTGATCACATATCTGTTTTCAGCTGTTGACTACTCCAATAGTAATCCACATTTAGGTAGGAAATCCTTTAGGCTGTGTTTCTATAATTCCATAAATGACTGATTACAAAGGCTTTTGATCATCGTGCAATTTTTAAAAATGCCTAAATGACTCTAGAGCAGAAGTTCCATTGTGAATTTGAAGATTGGATCAGTTGAGCTCCCTTGGGCTAGAGACCAAGTGGAAATGGATCATTCCAGGGAACTCTGGCATGGTTCTGGATGGGCCAGCTGGAGACAGAATGTATCATCTCCATCTCACCCTTTTATATGTATATCTTAAAATGTACACAATTTATTAGTATGGCAGTACCTATATTAATAATATAATAATTAATTAATAATACACATTTCTGGGACAGATGTGCTCCAAAACAGTTTCCCAGCAGGGGTTTGTTCAGTATTGGAAAGGTTTGGAGAGCATTTTTATCTCCATGGCTCAGTGTTGGATCTGCCCAAGGTTAGCTGAAGTCTCCTCACCAGTGCATCTCAAACCCTGTGTTCCAAGATCCTGTTCTCAGAGAACAGCCCTTGTTCAGCCCAACAGCTGATTTGTTTCAGAAACACAACAATTTGTGTTTCATTAAGTGGATTAACCAAGTCCCTCAGGAGCGCTCGTCTGAATCATTCAGGATTTTCCCTCAAGAGGAGCAGGAAACCTTTGCCAGGGAAATTGAAATCAATAGAGAGCTGGAGCAAAAAGGAACAGCAAATTGTTGATGGTTTGTAGCATAAACACTTTGAGAGCCCAAAAGATATTTACTCCTACTGAATGCCACATGCAAGTACCACAATTAATGTGTTAAAGATGTGACAAGGTCGAGAGAGCAATTAAGTGTCTTAAAAAAGTTCAAGAATGAGTCTGTGGAAATCATGATGGAATTTTTTGGCTAGTAATACTCCAAGGGCCATTAAAAGTTACATGAAACTATTTAAATGTTCACTAGTTTTGGGCCTCTTATTAAAATGTTATGTTTTTCTCAGACACTTGAGGGATTGAGAGGATTTTCTCCCCTTTGATGTATTCTATCTGCTCTAGGCTAAAAACACACATCAGAAAATAAACTTTTTTTATATTTAATTTTTAATGACATACGGCTGCTGGAGGGAATCTTTTTTCCCGTTAACATAGCACAATCCCACCCAGCAAAAGGATCATTTTTATTTTTCACTTTTGTTTTCAGTACTGCTCAGGGACCAGAGAAAGGCATGGTTCAGCATTTCAGCCTGGGCAGACACTTGCAGTCAAATATTTATGGCTTTGAAGTAGAGGTAGATTGGAAAAACACCCATCAGAATGGTTTATCATCACAAACTGCTTCAGTGAAACCAAAATCTCAGTCCCACTGAAATACAATTTGGGAAGGGTTTTAAGACACCTTTTCATATTTTAAAAATTTCATATTTCATATTGTTATCTATCAAATTTTAAATCTCATATTTTTTAACTCTATTTCAAAATATAACAAGTAAAATCACATATAATTTATACTGATGTGAAGTTACAGTGCTACTGCTGAAATAATTCAAAACGTCAGTTTATCTTTTAAAAACACTGCAGGAAACAAATGTTTAACACTGATGGGAAATATCAGAAGAAATAGAAAAGATAAAAAAATACTCAGATAACCAATTAAAGAAGCAGTACCTTCCAATATATTTAAATTAGACTGGAATTTTTTTTTTGGTGATATTAAAAAGAGCTATTCTCATGTAGGGCTAATTTGTTATCAAACAGAAAGGGAACTTTAAGAAGAAAATTAATTACCCTTAATTACTCAAATATTTTAACTGTTCTTTCATGGCATGGTAGTATGTTCATAACCTCATTAATGTGGAAAGCTGTGAGATGGGTAGAATAATCAAAATACAGAAAATGGTATTAATTTATATTCTGAACTTTGGGGAGGAATTTTCACTTAATTCCCAATGCTGTCTGCAATGTCATATAGAACATTTTTGTATAAAAAAACCTTTAAACTTCTATCCAGGCAGGTACCCAAGCATGTAACTGAAATAAATTTGACCTTTCTCCTTCAGACAGACTTTGTAAATTCTTGTTATATTAACAGGGAGCTTCCAGAAGTTTGGAAGTATTAAAAACTCACCTGAAGAGGACGTATTTATGAAAATACGTGGCTGTACCTATGTTTAGCTTGTCAAAGAAACACAAATCTGTGTGATCCTGAGGGAGGATCAGCTTTCCTGCCTCTCTAACCCTGAACTGGGCTTCAGCTCTGAAATCCTCAGCTGGAGATAAATTTTCTGTCCTGTTTTAAGCACTAGAGGCAGAAAGCAATCTCTAAACCAGGATTTTTTTTTTTTTTCTCCCAGGAGTTTCTAACTGATGCAACTCTAAGGGTGATGAGCAAGGATTGATTAAGTAGAGCAGCACTTTTCCTGTGACAGAGGGAGAACCTGGGGTTGGTGTGATGGGTTTGAGCTGACCCACAGCTGCAGAAGAGACATATTTGGCTGATATTCCCTGAGTTATTATCCTGAGTGGATTTGATTTAATGCTTGCTTAGTGTTAGATGGGAGGAAGGTGGGAGATGTAGGATGTATTTCAGTTTTGTATCTTGTGTTTTGTACTTTTTGTGGCAGGCTTATGCATTTAGAGTCCTTCTTAACAGCTCTGCATGTTCGTTTTAAATCTGATCTTTGCCCTCATCTGACACAAGCTGCTTGCTCTGAGAAACTTGTGTCTTATGCAAGCCACATGACAAGTTCCTGCCCAAATTTTCTAACCAAATTCCTGCCACATCAGCGGGATCCGTGTGTGGAGCACACTGTCATGTTCTGCTCGAGGTGTGCTCCTGAGGCTGTTGAATGAAATTCCTTCTGACAGAAGAAAGTCATGGCCAAACAGCTCAACATGAGGGAAGAGGCCAGTGAAAGAGCAAAGGCTGTTTTGGCAGGAAGCTTTGCTGAGAGCAGAAGAATTCCCCATGAAAACCTGTTTTTATTAAAATTCTGTATGTAAGCATTTAACTGGAGTAAAGCTGTATAGTTGGAAGAAAATTCCTGGTTGTTAGACATGATTGATTATTACTGGAGCTTCTTTTCAGCCACTTGGACTGAGTGCAAAGGCCAGGGAATGTTCTCTTTACTGGCAGCTTGTCAGCTCATGCCCTCAGTCACATTTTTCCCTGATCACATCAGAGATTAATCCCCACAGCTCAGAGGGAGAGCCCTTCCTGGGCATCCTCCTTCTCTTTGGTCTCCTCACAGTGTGCACATTTCTCAGTACTGAAGAGAATTCTTGAGGTGAAACCTTATCACAGTCGTTAACAGAATACTAAAAACAAACAATGTGTTTGGAAGGAGGCACGTGCTGGGAAGAAGGCAAACATTCAGCAATAGGAGGAAGCAGGGAGAAGGAACAGATTAAAGAGAGCAGGCAGAAGTCAGGGAGTGTTGGCAGAGCCGTGATAAATCCTCTGAATCCCAAATAATCGTGGCTGCTCCATTTTAGAAATCTGTCTGACATACAGATGGGAGCTTTGCAAAGTCCTTCTCTCTTCCATGGGGAGCACTGAAATCCATCCCCAGAATTCCACATATTTCCAGTGGCACTCCCACTGGGCACTGCAGGGAGGGTCTGGGGCTCAGGTGCTGATGATACCTGAGACCTTTTCATGTCTGGTTTTCCATGGCTGCATTCAGCTCTGTGCTCTGGGCTCATCCTGGCTTCATAGTTTGGATTTTGGGTTAAAAATGTCTCCTAAACCTTGTGAATGACTTGGCAGCACCCAGGAGTTGGCTGAGGGAGGGCAGTTGGTGGCACAGTCATCAGCACAGTCACTATTTATATCCATTTATCTCTATTAGGAGATCATTTGTTTGAGCCTCTTCAACTTGATTTGGGTTGTGCTCCCACTTGGAGCCCAGTTGTGAGCGGATACTGTCGACCTCTTTGGAGCAGTTAATACCTTAATGAGCCAGAGATTTTAATGACTTTTTTTTTTTTTTTCCAGAAGATTAAACTATTAATTTAACATCAAAGGATGTGTTAATAACAAGACAAAGTAAATGCTTTTAACAGTAGTGACAGATGATGTTCCTGTTTATTTAGTAATACCAAAGGCAAATCACCCCAACAAACTGAAAGCTCCAATTGTGAGATCTTATCAGAGTAATTGCCATTTTTCTGAGGTCATACTACCAGTGGAAAGTGAATAGGGCTTTTTTTTTTCTCATTTTCATAACTCTGAAAAATACAGGACACTAACTGTTTGCACAGGGTACTGCAATCTTCTGGTGCCTGATAAGCCTGAACCTAGCCAAGAGGCAGCTATTGCTCTGTAATCTGCAATTTCCTATTTCTCCTTGGTTATCTGATATGGGAGGGATTTTTTTTTTCAGAGCAGAGTGAAGGCTTTTCACACTGGGTAGGTTTGAATAATTGTTTTTGGAGGTAACGACTTTGAGCAAAATGTGTTAGCAAAAGGAATTCTGTCATTTTCCTCCCCTAAATTATCAATATGGAAAGGTGTTCTTGTATCCTACACAACAATCCTGTGTTCTGGACTCATACTCAAATGGACCCTGACATGGAAATAGAAACATGAGTTTTGAATGATCTTCATCCTATAAAGAACTGGGCTGCTTCTGTAGCCTCTGAAAAATTCTTCATTATTTTCCTGAGTTTCCCTATCTGCATAAGTGGAAAATAATTCCCTGCAGCCTTGTTGTGTGAAAAACTTGATTCACCAAGTGAAAAGTGTTTTTAATTTCTCTCAAATGATCTCAAAATGAAAGTAGAAATTATTTTATTCTGTCTATTTATTAAAATGCTTGGTTCCAGAATTTAAAGAATTAGTTTGTATCTCCTTAATCATTGTTTGGCAAAATTGAACATGGCTGCTAAAATTCTCCAGCTAAATAAAATTGTTACCTCTAGATTAAGAAGACCTCTTAGTAAAGCTGATATTGCAGATAGGTCCCAGTTTAGGAGAGCCCTAAACATGAACTTAAGTTTTTGGCAAATCCTTTTCATCGATGTTTGATCAGTGCTGGGCAGTGACACAAAACTTTAAATAGCAGGAATATGCCAGAAGGACATAATGAGCTGCTCTCAGTGCCTTTGAAGCCTGAGCAGGTTTTGTTGATGTGTTGATGATGCAGGATCAGAACTTTCCATGTAAATCCTAATGGTGATGTTTAGTAGTGGATGGTGGTGATGCCACAGCTTTCATCGTTATTTTCCTTAAAGATCTGCCTTTTAATCTCTCTAAAACCGTGTGGTGTTATCCAATCTGTGTTATACAGATCCTGCCTTTTTTCAGGGGTGTTTTATCTTGCTAATTATTGCCCATAAATGTTTGTAAACACACACCCATACATACATTTTTTGCAGGTATTATTGACAGCACACAGGTGGAACAGAGGCAGGTGGTAGCTGTGACTGGGGATGGAACCAACGATGGACCAGCACTTAAAAAAGCTGATGTTGGCTTTGCAATGGTATAATCTTGATGTTTGTGCCATTATGAATTTGCTGTAAGGGCTTTTCCATTCATTGAATGTGAAGCTGCTTAGTTATAACTTGTCAGTGAAGGAATATATTGGTGGGAATGCGTTATGTTGACTCAGAATCCTTTAATTCACTTGGATTTACTGGCATTGCTTGTTTTGATACTTCTTCAGGATTTTGTCTAATTAATTACCGGCTTTATGCAGAATCCTGTGCCCATACAGAAAAATGAACTTTTTCTTCACAACACTGGAGTTCTCTTTTGCTGTGGATAAATCCACCACTAATTGGAAAGGTGTCTTCCATACGTACTCTGACTATATATAAAGACACATAATTCTCATTTTTGATACCAGTTCTGTTCATGGATAATAAAAAACCATCATCAATGATAAAAATAGTTCAGATGATCAGCAGTCTTTAAGCTGATAAAACGCTTAGAGCCATCACCACATGAACTCCTCTGCTCTCTGTCAATTCCCTTTTCTGCGGCCTAATTCACATCAAAACCAGGCCGAATTAGCGAAATTCCAGGAAATACAAAAAGCTGTGGGCTTTGACAATGGAGATTTGTGCTGTCCAGCAGGGAATCTCATTCCCAACCCCTTTCCCCAGGGCATTGCGGGCACAGACGTGGCCAAGGAGGCCTCGGACATCATCCTGACGGACGACAACTTCAGCAGCATCGTCAAGGCCGTCATGTGGGGCCGCAACGTCTACGACAGCATCTCCAAGTTCCTGCAGTTCCAGCTCACCGTCAACATCGTGGCCGTCATCGTGGCCTTCACCGGCGCCTGCATTACCCAGGTGAGCAATCCCTGCTGGGATTCTGCTGAAATCCTGCTGGGATCCTGCTGTGATCCCACCACGATCCACGCTCCCAGTAGATGGGGCCTTGCATTTGATTCCTGCTTGGCACACAGCAAATAAACTGATGCCTTATCCTTGGTCCTAAAATAAAGAGCTAGGCATGGTTAAGGGTTAAAGGGTTTTTATCTTGGTATTTAGTAAGGATTTTTGTGGTGTAACACTTCACCAAGGTGGAGCATGCTGAAATGCCTACACACGATAGATCACGTATGCCATTTTATAGACCTTGCAAATTAGCATATCTAACAAAGATGCCCCAATGAGGTGCTTGAATTAATAGTGTGGTATGTGGTATTCACATTCTCTGGAAAAATCCCTTTGCCCAGGATTTTTCTCCTGGGAAGCTGAGAAGCCTCAGAGAAAAGGAAAACAATTCTTATTTCATTTGCTTCTCCCGTGCTGTGCTCATGTGTGGAATGTGGTTGGAGATTGTTTACCCACAGGTGATTGTTCCATTGCATTCTGCTGTGAGTTGTTTTGACTCTTTGGCCAATCAGTACCAAGGGACTGTGTCAGGACTCTGGAGAGAGTCACCAGTATTCATTATTGTCTTTTTAGCATTCTGTAAGTATCTTTTCTGTATGCTTTAGTATTGTATAGTATAGTATTCTTTAATATAATATAGTATTATAAAGTAATAAATCAACCTTCTGAAAACATAGAGTCAGATACATCATTCCTCCCTACCATAAGAGTCTCTACAAAGACAATAGTGGTATCTTTTTATCTTGAAGTATTTATTCCTGGCTGGGCTTAATCTTAGTTTACAGGATATATTTGAGAGGAGACCTTGGTTTTTCAAGATAGCATGGGGCTTTCTGGTCTCTAACTGCAAGGCCTCTGGGATGTTTGGTTTTCTGGCTTAATAGAATACCAGGACTATGTTAAGTTATCAGACTTAAGGAATTACAAGTATGCATGCTAAGGGCACTGAGAATATATAAAAGGTATAAAAAAAAAAAGACAAAAAATTGTTGTGGCATCAAAAGCTTTGGAAATTCTCCTGAGCATTCTAAGGATCAGGCTGCTGAGGGTTAAGGAGTTGCTGATGTCAGGCTGGATTAATCCATTTTTTTTCCCAAATGAACCCACTTTTAGGAGCAATTTTGCTTCCCTCAGTGTTGTCATCCCTGAGCCTGTGATGGTCAAACAGTAAACACCATGGACTGGGAAAGGAGCCGGTTATGTGAATTTGCCTTTTCCTCTCAGAATACTTCGTTAATAAATACATAGTTTTTAATGCATTGTGGAATGAGGTTATTTTCAAGGCAGAACTGCTGACCCACAGAAGTAACCCCAATCTTTTTGACAGATAAAATTATTTTGTTGCTTTCAGGCAGTTATTTTTAATTCCAGATGCAGATGACAAACGAATTAAATGACACATAGAGTTGGACTTAGACCTCTCTTTCTTGCACTCCATTAATCCTTCATTGCAATCCTGGTGCAGATGCAACACATCCAGGTCATTTACAAGAAGCATATCATGTTTTTTTTTTTGTTTTTTTTTTTCTCAAATTATAATTTTTTGGGCAATAAAATTGCATTTTTTTCCTCTAGAGAGTAAACAGGATATATGCAGTAGAGTGTAAGGTTTTTGTTTAATGAGAAAATAACAAAATGTGGTTTTTAATGCTGTCAGTCTCTAAAATAAAGTATATTTTAGATGCTGCAGGCAAGTGCTGTCACAAAATGCCCCCCTGGATTGGGATGCACTGGGAAAACTGATGCTTCCGTCATGGTGCATCACCCAGATGCCCATACCTGTTTCAGCAGGTCTATTTCAGCCCAGGCACACCTGAGCAAAGCAATGAATAAATCATCAGCTCTGCTCCAGGCTAAACTTACATTGGAATCATAGAATTGATCCTTGCAACCAGAAACCCAAGTACCTTAACAAACCCATGAGGTCAAACTTCTCCTGTGCCCTGGCTGACATCCAGGAGCCTCGGAGGTCCCTTCTTGTCACCATTGAGCCTGTGCTGAGGGACAAAATCCATGGTGTTGCAGCAAAGTTGGATGAATTTCCCTTTGGAAACATTTGCCAGCATATTGAGGAAATGCCCAGCTGTGAAATGATTGTTGCTGGTAACCCAGGAATGAGGACTGAAGCTCTGGGAGGTTTTTACAGGTGGTACAAACCCAGCTAGAACAAGGTACTGATAGCAGCACCATCACTGGAACTGATTTTATTGACAATCAGTGTCTGACTAGAAACATTTAAGGTGAAATTTCTTGGTCAATGCCCAGCATGTCTTCATTTTTTTTTTGTGGAAGCACAAAGGGAAACTCATTCTTTTTGGTAACCAAATAATTTTTTATCCCTGAGGAGGTTAAACATTGCTGGATCAGTGCAAGAACTATTTTAAATCAAGTCTAAGTGGATGTGAAGTGCATTATCATTACAAGCATAATCCCCTTTTTAATTCTGGAGCTTTTTTCATCCTTTGAATCATTCCTCTGGCTTCTAGAAGGATTTGGATCAGGCCCAGTGCATTTCTCTTGCCCCCAGGTCTGTGAGTCCATCCCTGGGCCTGTCGTCCCTGCTCAAAGGTTTCAGGGGACACCTCCTGGAACTCCTGGGCTGCTTTGCAGATTTGTGTGCAATTCCTTAATTTGGCAGTAAAGGTGCAAACTCAAAGGAAAGGTGTGGGGGAAGCTGAAGTGGAAATGGAAGCAGAAAGGCAGCAGTTCTGTCCTTTGCCACTGTTTACACTCAGTGTGAATAATCTCGAGCTGCTCCCGGTTCTGTCTCATTCAAGAAGGATTTTGCCACACAAATGCACATTATTGTGTTAGGCTTTGACTCCAGCCAGCCAAAGGACATTCTGTTTGGCTTGAAAGCTTTGCTAAAAATTGCACTTGGGAACATGCTGTACCCTCTGGTTGCTATGAAAATAGCTCCAGCGCAAAGTGCAGGACTCTCCCAAAAAAATCCTGCCTGCAACAGTCTAGGTGCACACATGTACATCCAAATTTGCAGAACTGCGCACAGGTCTGACTGAAAGATTTTGACTGAAATGTTTCAGTCCTTAATAAGCAAACAAATAAACAAAGCTTAAATCTATAGTTTCAAAAAGGCAGCACAGCTTCCTGTGACCTTCAAAATGAACACAAAGAAAGTCTTCACTGGACTGAATTTTCCTTTGATTTAGGGGATCAGTTTGGCTTTCTCTGACACACAGAATATAGTTTCAGTCCATCATTAAGAATCATATTAATGAACATTACACAGGCTGTTCTTTTGGTGACATTTCATATCTAGAATGCGAAAAATTCTCTGTGGGTAATAATATTTGTTCTCTTTTTCCTCATGCCACCTCTCAAGTAGTCTGTTCTGCAGTTTGGAACCAGCACACTCACCTACTCTTTTTTGGTTTGTGCTTAAAGGAAGTACAAAGATAATAAAATCTTTGCTTGGACTAATCTTTTTTTAATACTTGGCTTGTGCTTTGCAACATAATGGGCTTAATTTTATTCAGTCTTGATCCTGCACTTGCTCTGGTGTACATGTAAATATGAGGATGTGGTCATCTCCCTGCAGGACTGCAAGTGAAAGCACAGCAATTCTGTATTAATGAATTAATTAATGACTGTGTGAGTGTGGTGGGAGTGAAGCCAGCCCTCCAAGGGGCACCCAGAGAGTGCATTGCCCACGCAGGAGATGATTTGTTTGGTCCAGGGCACCTTGGGAGGCCCATGGAGAGGCTTAAGAAAAACATTAGGCAGAACCTGGGACCATTAGTGGCCATTTTAATAATCTGCTGCTTTTTTTCTCAAGTAGATTAATGAAGTGAAGGTCCTTGCCAATTCCACTTCAGGGGACTGCTGTTTAGTTTAATTCTGTTAATTTTAAACAACTGTCATTTTATTTTTCATCTACCCAATGCCTGCTTCAAGAAGATGCTGCTGTTAGAGAATATCTGCTATATTTACAATTTCTGTTTTGTCCTGGTTTGCCGTTTCAGTAGATAGTGATGTGTATAAAATGTCTCTGTACTGCTCCAGTGCCAGATAAAGCTTATGCAGGACAAACAGTGGGCTGTCAAAGAACTTATTATGCACAGGACCACAGCAAATTGTTGTTTCTCTTGTCTCCCCTGGTTCCCAGCATGAAGTCATGTTAAGGTGACAGCAACCATATTCTAAGCAGCATAAGAATTACAGATCCAGTGTCACCTGCTGACAAGCTTAGCACAGCTGCTGCCACAAGCACCCCTCCAAGGGATCTCACTTACACGGGGCCCTGTTTCAGTTTACAGCTGCTCAATCTATAAGCCACAAGATCTGAATTTTCAACTAATAATGAACTTCTGTGTTGTGAGTCTGTAATTACGTAAGGCGCTCTGAGATCTGGGTCATCCAGGAAAGCAGAGCTTGGAGAAGTCTCTGGTGGGCAGGTGGCTCAGGAGCCCCCAGCCTGGGCTGCAGGGGTGGTTTTAGCTCTGTGTCTGTGTGTGCACACCTCTGGTTACTCCCAGAGAGATTTGTGTGGCTCAGTGCCACTGAGCTGGGCTCATTCGCCTTATTTTTAGTTAATCTAACTTAGTTCTCTCTTGCTGCCTTCCCTGTAGTGCTCACTGCACACCTTTAGTGTGGTCAGGGTGTGGTGGTCTTGACCAGTTTGTGTAGAACTGTCCTTTCTCTTCTGCAGCCACTGCCTCACCTCAAACCCATCGTTTGTTTTTCCCAGTGGATTTATGAGCTACAAACTTTTATATTCTGACTTCATTCTCTGAATAACAGTTTTGCAGAGCCCCTGATTGATGCAGTGAGGGTGGTTCTTTGGAGCTCTGCCTACGATTCTTGCGAGTTTTGTGCTCGCAGTGAGTCACTGCTCCACATCTCTGGGTGTCCTATAGAGCCCTGTATGGGCTCACCCCGCTCCCTGTCCCCAAAAACCACACAGCACCCGGAGGATTTCAGCTCATTACGCTTGGAGCTGTCCACAGTGGTCTGGCTATGAACAAAATGAAGATTTTAAAATGCAGCTCAGTCAAATGGAAACAGTTTTTTACTGGAGCCATGAAGCAAGAGGGTTTCTCTCCGTGCCAGGTTCGGTCTGTGGCTCCAACTGTTGAGGCAATTGTAACTCTTCAAAAGGACTGCACTGAAAAAAGGGAAGACAAAGGCTGTGTTTTAACATTTTACATTCAAATTATTATTCTTTCACTTTGAGAGAGACTTAGTGTTTTAGCAGACATTAGGAGCTGAAAACAGTGACTCCATAGGACATTATGTTTGGAAAATTAGATGTTAATTAAAAGGCACTGTAGCAATGAACTGCTGCATGAATCACTGATTGTTTTTACAGATCTTGTTCAAAAAAATGAGGATGATCTATACTTACATGTAAAAGGGAGTAATTTACGTGGTTATAATGTTTTACTGCAGAACTGTACTTGGCAAATTCTAAAATAATAGCACTGGCAAACTTGAAAAAGCTGTAATATAAAATCAAAGTCTGTGTTGTTTAGCTTTGTTTTGGCAAGGCATGGGAATGGAATTGAGGATGCCACTTCCATACAATTAGCAGACAGTGTGATCTAGCAGCACAGGGACTTTTATTGCATTAATGTATAGAAAGGTAACTCCCAGAAATGCTCATTTTAATGAATCCCTGCATGTGTTCTGTGGCAAACGGGAGTAAAGAGGTAAGGGTCAAAATACCTTTTTGTTCCCTTGCAGCTTGTCATCTAAATCAAAAGTAACAAGCTCTAAAATTTGTGAGGCTCTGCATGTCACAAAAGATTTGTAGTTTATTTCCAGCCTTTGGCAATTTGTACTTTTAAGTGTTTCCAAGATGAAGCGTAACATCACTTGATTTAAGGGACATTTTCCTTTTACCTCTAGGCCAAGGCTAACCTATTCCAAGGTCAAGTGAAAGGAATTTGATGAATAAGTGGTGATTTTGGATGGTTCACATCCCCAAAGTTTTCAGAGAGGGAATTAAGAATTATTGGCTGGTCAGTTAGTGGCTAAAACACAAAGAAAAGAAGGTTGATTTGCATCCCACTTCCATAAGTGACTAAAATCTGCAGTGGAAGCCTAAGCTCCTTAGCTGATATGTATTTCCCTCAGTTTCCACCAACTAATCAGAAATCAGATAGAGTTACAGTGGAAATTTCATTCCACTGCCTGCCCAGACTAATGTGTATTTAATGTTTTGGCTTCAGCCTGGAATGAGCTCTCACACTCCACTGAGCAGTGTAGCACTGCCAATAATAGATAATTATTAGGGGCACCACAGCCACCCAAGGTGATTGGCAGTGTGAAATGGTGAGAACATGTTGTTGCCAAAACTGATGACTGCCAATTACAGTTGTGTGATTTAGAGACTGAAATACCCTGCCTTTCCTGTTCTGCTGGGAATATGGCAGGCTCTGATAGACACCTGAATCTCTGACTCCATCTATTAAATCTAACAGGGAAATTTGGTTTTATTGACAGAGAATTCAGCGTGTGAAGTGGAAATTGAGTTTAGTAACAGATCAAAGCAGAGAAGGTTGCTCAAACTTATTAATGAGACAGGCAAAAACATGATAAGGAAAATTCTTCAGCAGAAAAGATGCTTTCCTTTTTACCTGTGTCCCATCGAGGGTCTGTGAGCCCCAGCCACAAACTGATTTTTACTGCAAGTGCTCTCTTTGTTAGAGCCCTCAGTGTTAATAAAAATGAATGAAGTCTTGATTTGGGATGAAGTTTGTCCTGATCACCTTTAGTTTTTTAGCCATCTCTAAAGACAAAGACATTTCCTGTTTCTGCAGCTGCATTTCAAAGGAGTGAGCTGAGCTCTCATTAAACCCAGTTAATGCAACTCATAACCAAGAGGTCAAGAATCTATAAATGCTAATTGTCCTCCTTGCTGTGATGAACCCAACCTGTAAGACTGAGAAACAGGAGGTTGCTTTTCTCCTTCTCTTTGAATAAGCCAAAAGTTTTGGGGTTTTTTAAATAAATCAAATGCATCAAAATCTGTGTAAATGTGTTAAAAATGTGTTTTTAGGGGAAATAATATTTCATCTCAAGGGAAGAGTTCAAATCTAAACCAGATGCTCAAGAGACCAAAACACTTAACCTTGTTTTCTATTGGTCCTTAGGATACTGAATGTGTGTTCTTTTATGGTATTTCATCAAAAATTAACATTTAACCCTTTGAAGAAACGGGCAGAATTCTCAGGGAGTTTTGTTGGCTTTGCTTTGGTTTGTATCCTGTCCTCTACATTGTTTTGGCTTCAATGCTGCAGCACCATGGTAATGAAATACATAAAAATAGTGCTCCCTCTCCCAGCTTTCACAGAGCACAGTAACTCAATTTCATGATGAAATTTGTCATGTTGATGCCTTATTACTTTGGTGATTCTTTTTTTCCCTCATAAAAATGATCTGTTTGGAACAGGAAGCAGATCTTGCTAATGCTGCCTGTTTTATACAGTATAAAGGCACAGGAGTTTGGGTTTTTTGTTTTTTTTTTTTGTTTTCCTCCTCTGGCTCCTTGAAACATTTCTCTCTCTTCACAGCTGCCCCAGTGAGTTACACATCAAAACTTGGTTAAGGGTTGTCCAGCATCCTCCTGAGATCTGTGTAACTTTGCTTTATTTTAGTTAATTTTGGGGTTTTAAAACATGAACTAAAGTCATCTGTATTATGATCGCAGACTTTATGGGATTGTGTGAGGAAAGAGCTCCTTCTAGTGACTGGAGAGCTGCTTCCAAAACCACAGCCTGCATCAAATACCAGGATTTGGGGTTTTTCATTCCATTTCCATAGTGACAAATATACTTTCCTTTTAGTAATAAAAGAATAGGTATTCTTGATTTTGCACATTTGATATAATTTAATAAGTTTCAGATTATTTTTTATCAAAATATCAGGCTTTTGTTATTATTATGTCACTACTGTTAATGATCTTATTTAAGTGTAATGTATCACGATGTCACCATAATTGTTCCATACATTTTTAATAATTTCAAGCTGTCTCTGAAAAAAAAAAAAAAGAGAGTATAAAGGAAATGTTACATTTTAATCTGTTTCAATATAATTTTTCTTCCACAAGAGAAACTTGGATTCTCTAGTTGTATCTGAATTCAACTGAAAATTCAAGCAACAATGCATGAAGGAACGGAGAGCATTGCAATAGGTGTTAGAAGGAGTTACTGTCATGCTTGGTAGGAGTTTTGTGGTTGCAAATGGTGTTGATTAAATGCCTGCAGGGAGATGATTTCTCTCTGCTCAGAGCATTGTGCTCCTGGTCCCGCAGAAGGAAGAAGGAGGGTCCCAGAAGCAGAAGAAGGGTCCTCAGTGTGGGGATTTCTGAGTCCCTTGAGAAAAATGAACCCCCAGCCAGGCTTTTCCTGGGAAATACAAACCTTCCTGATTTTTCCCCTCAGGACTCTCCCCTGAAGGCCGTGCAGATGCTGTGGGTGAACCTGATCATGGACACGTTCGCCTCGCTGGCGCTGGCCACGGAGCCGCCGACCGAGGCGCTGCTGCTGCGCAAACCCTATGGCCGCAACAAGCCGCTCATCTCCCGCACCATGATGAAAAACATCCTGGGCCACGCCGTCTACCAGCTCACCCTCATCTTCACCCTGCTCTTTGTTGGTGAGAAGCTGCCCAGACTCGGTGCTCAGCTCACAAGCAGCTGGGTTGTATGGCTGAAATGTCAAAATGTTTTAAATATAATGAATGAATGTGTGCTTTTTGTCTGCCTTCATTATCTTTAGACTTTGTTTTGGATATTAGAAAAAAAGTTTTTACAGAAAGGATGATAAAGTTCTGGAATGGCCTGCCTGGGGAGTTGGTGGAGGCACCATCCCTGGGTGTGTTTAAAAAGAGACTGGTGCCAGGGTTTAGTTGAGGTGTTGGGGCTGGGTTGGACTCTATGATCTTCAAGGTCTCTTCCAACCCAGTCACTCTGTGATCCTGTGAATCCTTGTTGATGGTATGGGAAGCACAGAAGGTGTCATGTTGTAGTCACTTTCCATATATTGTTACCTTGGGAATAGCCTCATTGACCTTTTTTTCCCCTCATAAAATACAGTTTTGGGCTATGGCAAAAGTTTGTATCCAAACACAGCATAGAAGGTTATGCTGCAATAGGAGAGTCCACCCTGCTGCTTCTATACTGAGATTTCATTGTGAGGTTTGTCATGGTGAGTAGGGACGTAAAAACATATTTAAAAAAAACCCTTAAAACAAACCACAATAAAAATAAAGATCCATTTTACCAAGAGCAAAGTGTTATCCACAGTCCAGAAATAATGTTGATCTTAAGCTGTATGGAAAGTAAGTAATCAGTGTTAAGTGATACAAATAACACTCTGCTTTGACATTTAATTTCTGGAATGGATATTAAAAGGGGGTGAAAAATCTAATTTATTGCATTACTGGATTCTTCTTCAGGCCTTGCTGGCAATGGATGCTTTTTATAGGTTGTATTTTGGAGAGGGGAGGGAAGGAGGAGAAATGTTTCTTGCTGCAGGGAATAGTAGGAGCTAATAATAGCTTCTGTTTCCCCACAATAATAACCGAACCCTCTCAAAGGACAGATGATTTTTTTCAGCTGGGTATTGTCTTCTTGTCACTTTGTAGTCACTGTTAAATCACACGTGTTGTCTTTCAGGCTTTTTTTTTCCCCTTATACACAGACTTCCAGAGAAGCTGCAAATTTATGATTTTTAGGAGGTTTTTGAGTTCCATTCTGAAAGCCTTGTCCACTTTATGGCCATCTGGCAGCTTATCTGGGATGCTCAGAGGAGGCAGTGATCTGTTCATAATGGAGTTAAACCAAAAAAATTGCCAGGTTTCTGAAGAGACATGGTCTCTAACATTGTTAGATTTACAGGGAATTTTGAGAATGCCTGCATTAGGAAATTGGAATTTCAGGTTCTCTAAAACAGGTGAAGAAACTCTTGATAATTCATATGAATTCATATGTTCATCTTGGAACAAGTTCTGTGAACTTTATGGTGAGTTAGAATGGCTTTTTGGTGAATTTTATGGTTTAAAGTACTTTATACTGAGCCAGATGAAAAGCAAAGCCCCTATTCTAATTGCTCCTGTGTGTCTTTGGAAAACTCCTGCATACTTTGAAGGACGCATCCCAGACAATTTTCTGATAAGCCTTGAAAATAATAGTTTCCTTTCTAAACTCCACAAGGCTCAGCTTTGCAGTGACATGGTGTGCAAAACTCAGTGCCTCCATAATTAAATTTTGAATTAATGAGAATTATTTCTATTTTGGTCAAATAATACTTCCTTTCTTTTGTAGGAGGTTTCTTCAGAGACCAGTACATCAAGTTTTTCTATTTTTTTATTTTTAGAAATACATTGTGTTTGAACATACAAAACGTAAATGTCTTTGAGGCATCAGAAATCCGGAATTCACTGTCTGGTCCTGTCAAGCTGTGGTATAAAAAAAATCACAACTTTATTTTTTCAAAGCTCACCACATTTTTGGTTACTTATCATGGGTTGTATCTTGCTTTTTGATTGGTCAGATCTATGAGTGAAATCCAAATTATCAAACTAAACAACAGTGCCTGCTGCTGCTCGACCCCAAATCTCTTTAAAACCAGGAATGTTGGTGTCTTTTGTGACTGATATCCTTCAATGGTTGGCAGAAGTTACTGGATTAGTAAATGGGTGAAACCTGATGAAGAGGAATGTCTTCTAACCACTGTAGAAAATTCAAACACTCTGGCAATGACCTTAAGATTTTGTTGCACCTGAAAGAATTGAGTGCTTAGAGTAATTCCTACTTGGGTAGGTAAGAGCAGGACTGACAACATTGTGTAGGTGTTGTCAGATAGGAGTTACGTATTGTTAGATAAAAACCAGCATTTGAACAGCTTCTTGCTCAGTTGAGATGTGTTTTGCTCATTGGTCCAAGAAAAGTTTTATCTAGAAAAAGCAGAGCAGAGAAGGCTGAAGTATACGAGTGGAATATAAATTGGTTTGATTCATTCTGGAGAAAACTTTTATTTTTGTCTTATACCTAGGTGAGAAAATGTTTAAGATTGACAGTGGGAGGAACGCCCCTCTTCACTCTCCTCCTTCCGAGCACTACACCATCATCTTCAACACCTTTGTCATGATGCAGCTCTTCAACGAGATCAACGCCCGCAAGATCCACGGCGAGAGGAACGTCTTCGACGGCATCTTCAGAAACCCCATTTTTTGCACTATTGTCCTGGGCACCTTTGCTATTCAGGTAAAGCTCTGGCCAAGAATCACTTACCGTTCATCACAGATCATCACTCAAATCATCACAAGCCCACTCAAAAAAATCAAACACAAAGTTATCTGGGAAATTTCTCCTCTGTGTTTTATTTTTTTTTCTTAATTTTAAATCTAAGTGCTGCAGGAAGACCATTTAAGAGTAAACCACCTAGTTTGGTGTATTTTCTCAATCAACACAAGTGTTAATAATGGAAAACGTTATGTAGCCATGCTAATAAAACAGAAATTTTGGTCCTTATAACAGCGTTAATTCTTAAATTAATCTCAGCATGTACAATAATAACAGCCATCATTGATATTGTAACTGGTTTTTAAAGAAGAAATTGTTTAATAGCATACCAGCAAATCATTTTACAATTACGTATTACTCCTTGAAAAGACAAACATACCTTCAAACAGCTGATGCTGAACTGTTCTTCTGTTCAATGCCACTGCCCAAAGCTGCTCAGTATTCCCAGCAATGATGCCTCTGGATTGTGATTCCTCATGTTTCTCTCTTGAGTTTGCTGTCCGATCACAAGTGAACATGCTCTCAGAAATAAACATTTTTCCCAAATTTTTATTCTGTAAGAATTCCCCCTCCTGCTCCTGCATCCATTCTTTTGCTGGCATCCATCCTGTATTTGATATTATCATTTAGAAATCTATTTTTATCTTGTCGTTATTGCTCAGCTCAGCAGTGGCAGCTCAGCATTAGCACCTTTCTCTTGGGAGGAGGAAGGAGGAGGAAAGAGCAGTTTGAGCTTGGGCTACAGAGATTTGAAAAGGGAAACTCCTCAATAAACTGAATATTGGAGGAAGGGCAGCAGTGATGGGAGCAGAACTTCACAGTGATGGTTTTTAACATCTAATTCAAAATCATGAGTTTAAAACTGGGACAGTTTAAATCTCTGGATGACATTTCAGGTCCCTGATTTTGCAGCAACAATATTAAAAAGAAATATCAATAATATCTGATTTGCAGTTAGCAAAACCTTCTCAGTCTGCTCAGCCTCTGTGTGTTGTTATCCTGCTGAAGGTGTGGGGTTCTCCCACCCCCTTCCTCCAACAGTTCTAGAGTTTTCTGTCCCCTCTGTCCCTCCATGAAGCACATCTGTAAATAACCAACAAAATGTTACTCGGAGGGAAAAGCCACTCTTGCAATGGACATTCCAAAGTGAACCGGATCAGGGTCAATAAATCAGGAGCTGGGAGAGCACACAGGGACTGTCCTCTTCCCTTTCTTCCTGGCTATTCATATCTGACCACTGTTAAATATGAGGCTGAGGAACTCCAGTCTGAACTGCTATTTCTTTTTCACACTTTTAATTTGGGATGCAGAAGTTTGTGGGGGTTTTTTGGTTGCTTGTTTGTTTTGGTTTTTTGTTTGTTTGTTTTGGGTTTGTTTTTGTTTTGTTGCCTTTTCTCCCTGAAAAAATTGACCCCTTTTCCCTCATGCTTCTCTTTGTAGATAGTGATTGTCCAGTTTGGAGGAAAACCATTCAGCTGTTCTCCCCTGCAGCTGGACCAGTGGATGTGGTGTGTATTTATTGGATTAGGAGAGCTGGTGTGGGGTCAGGTAAGCATTCAGGAGCTGCACAATCAGAGGGGTGATATTGTTGATATTCCTGTGATTTCCTCTCTCAGTGCCCAGTGCAGCCCTCACTGAAACCCAAGGTGCTCTCTGAGAGCTTCAAGGAGGGATATATTAGTAAGGATAATTTATCCCTCTGTTCCTTTGGGGTTTTTTGTTAATTTTCAAATATTTCCTTTCTAGCAGGGTGTACAATCACCAGGGGCATCTTCAGTTAGGCATTTTTTATGAAAGAGGTTGAGTCACAACTTCAGTCTTCTAGTCACAAAAAAATGCAGCAAAAGGCAAATGCACTGTGACCTTTCCTGGAACAGAATTCCTCCTGTAGGATGTGGCAAAGTTTTGGAGCTGAAATGAAGTTCCAGTTCTAGGTCAACCAACTCATTCCCTTGCTGGAATTGTCATTCTGGCTACTGTCATAGGAAAAATTCCAGTGCCTTTAAAATATTTCTGCTGTGATTCTCCATCCATCTAATTCTGTGTGTGAAGGATGGAAGAGGGAGTGAAAAAAAAAAGGAATTTCTTTGCATTTAAAAGTTGTAGAAAATGGCAGTTAAATTAACATCTCCTTTTCAATTTCTGCCATATCCTCTGTCATCATTGGCTAATATAGAATTATACATTGATGAAGAAAAAAATGTCAATGATAAATTGGGAATAACTCTCTGGAAGTGATATACACACACAATCAGTATTATTAACATTCTACATTGTTCTTTTATGTGCAAACACAGGTTGCAAAGCTCATAATAATAATAATTTTTCACCTCTGAATGCACTAACAGGATATTTAAATTGTTGCCACCTGGTGCAGTAAAGAAAAATGTGAAGTTACATTTTTTTCTCTCAGATGTAAAGAGATTTGTAGATCCACAGTTTGCCTCTATGAAGAGTCAAGAAATTGCCCACTGCAATTTAATTCTTCTGTGGTTCCACTGGAATTGTAGTGAATAAATGCTTGCTTTCAATTCTGATTATTTTTTCTCTTCTGGAACAAAAAAAAAAAAACAAAAAAACAAACAAACAAACAAAAAAAACCAAAAAAAAACCCCAAAAAAAACACAAAAAAAACCAAACAAACAAAAAAAAAAAACCAAAAACAAAAACCAAAAGAAAACCCAACTTTTTTTGAAAGTTTGGCCTCAGTTTTCCTTAGAAAAAGTTCAGAATCAGAACAGCTTTTAATGCATATGGTCACTATTAAATTATTCTGCTGTAATTATTACTTGAGGTTGGGATTTGACTTACGGCCTTGCAGGGGGAAAACCTAAAATCAGTTTGATAATCTCAGAAAGGAAAGATTTATTGGGTTTTTTTTCCTACTGTTTGGAAATATACTAACCTTTGGAGAAAGGGGAAATCAAACAGGGAGAGGGAGAAGAATCCAAACTGCTTCATTCAGCTGTGAAAATTTCCCACAGCCTTTGATCAAATTGTTTGGCTTCTAAATTTTGTTATCCATAGTTATTACATAACCACCAAGAACTAATACTAATATCAGCATTTTTTTTTCCACTTTACTTGCCCCAGGTTTATTGTGAGACCTTAGACATTAAATTAAAACTGGTATTGGAACACCTCCACAGTTTTAGCACTGAGAAGAAAGCAAATACAGAGGGAAGAAAATATCTGTCTTGTGGTCAATATTTAGTGACAAGAAGAGAAAATAGGATGCTAAAACCAATCAATTATGTCCATATTTACATAATTTACTGTCTGTGGCAAGGTCTTTCTTCATGGAGCTCTTCAGTGAGAGAGAATTCTTTTCCTTTAGCAGTGATGCTTCTCTTCTGTCTCAGCCTTTTCTCTGCTGCTCTGACTCATTCTAATTCAGCACAAACCGAATTTGTTATTCTTATTTTTCTTTTAATCCACGTGCTGAACCCGCTGTTCTGGTGAGCCATGAAAGGCAGTCAAGATTTCCAAGTTTGGGTGTCAAAGCAATCACTTCTGAAAGGAATTTAAGAAGTTCCCAGCAAGTCAATTTGAGGTGCTTGGAGGGACAGTTTTCTAACAGCTCCCATCCCTTCTGAAAACCAAGACTTTCTAAAGTATTTCCTGTCCCATTCCCAGAATTATTGATCACTTATTAAAACTGTGATCATTTTTCTGAGAATAATATTTAGTTCTTTAATCTGCCTCTATTGAGTCTGTGTCCTGAACTGGGTGGGTGTTGGCAGATACAGAAAATAAATAAATAATTAAAAAAGCCATGTAGACATCTTAAGGAAAGAATTAGAGCAGAGTCTCATCAGCTTGGGTGAGGTGTTGCAAGAGAGGAACATTCTGTCACACACAGTTCTGACCCAGTAGAGTTATTTTTATGAATATTTTAGTTTAAAAATCCTTTATCACCGTCACTTTTCATCAGATCCTAGAGTTTCCAGTAGTTTCTCTCTGTAGAATGCTGGCATTGTAGTTTGAAAGCTGGGAGGCTGAAGAACTTTCAGTAAGTATTTAACTGATGAGCATTTCCCCTTTCTTTTTCTCTCCCGTTCTGTCTTTGCACATGCCACACCATTAATTTTCCAGGTTTGCATCTTGTTTTTCAACCCCCCTTTAAAAAGGTTTTATAGTAGTGTAGAAACTGGATTTGGTTTGGTTATTTTGGGGTTTGTTTTCAGTCTGTCTTTAAAACATTATAATAAAACTGGCCTCGTGGATTGTGAAGCTCAAGGAGACCCTCAGCAAACTCAGAGGTTTTCTTTCACCCTGAAAATATCCAGAACATTTCCATGTGTCTTCACTGCATCCATTCCAGTTTTCCAAAGCTCTCCTCACCAATTTTCTGGCAGCTCTCTTGGTTCTCTCTTCATTTTTCATACATCTGAGCTTCACAATTGTGGTTGCTCGCTGCTGAAATGAAGATGAAAAAGAAAATTGCAGCAGTTTTTGCTAAGTGGGTTTAAAAATTTGCTTTGCAGGAGATTTGCTTTAAACATTCAGTGTGTTCCAGGTAATGTCTTGTTCAAATTGCCATGATTTGCTCCTGGTTTTATGCAAGGAATCAGAACAAAGGGAAAATGACTGCCCAACAGGGTAACCTTGCAATGCATTTAAGATAATTGTCCAGCTACAGTATCTGCAATTTTTAAAGATTATTCTCCTGTATTAGTTACTTCCAAGGACCACTTGGGTGGGCAAGCAGAATAAGAAGAGAGGTTAAGTTAATCAGAATTTATTGGTGGTAAGGACACAGAGTGAGAGACAGCCCTAAGAGAAATCCAACAACCAGATCCACACCTTTCAGAAAAATCAATTTTGATAAATGCCAGAAAAGCATTCCAGCTGCTGGAACAAGGGGAAGCTGAATCTGTGAACCAAGGGAATGTGAGAAGATTTATCAGCATGAGATACAATGAATTTTCACCTCCCATTACCATACAAATACCCAAACTCTAATTGCAGAGCTATCAATCTGCTTAAATTTTCTTTACATAATTACACTGAAATATTTCCATCTTGCTTTATTTTCAATTTCTTTTCTTGATAAAACTTTTCCCAGCCTTGAACCTGCTCCACACTGTGGTTTAGTGGTGCAAGTCATGCTAATTGTTTACACAGTAAATTAAATATTTTTGGGACTAAAATGGAGTCGTCCAAGTGCAAAGTGCTGCCAGGAACAGGCTTAGCCCACCTTTATAGACCTTACTAAAATATGATTGCTGTTCTGTAATTAGCAGATTGTTATACTGTTGCTCTTGAATGAGGCTTATGTTTTCAGTACTTTTTTATAATTTTAGGTCATTGCAACCATCCCAACAAGTAGGCTAAAGTTTTTAAAGGAGGCAGGGAGGCTCACTGAGAAGGAGGAGGTCCCTGAGGAAGAGCTCAATGAAGATGTTGAAGAAATAGATCATGCAGAGAGAGAACTCCGACGTGGACAAATCCTCTGGTTCCGAGGGCTCAACAGAATCCAGACCCAGGTATGCTAAAAATAAATGCCCACAAGGTCTAGAAACACCCAAAGAACTGATTAATGTGAGATCAAGGCAAGATAACATTAACAGGAAAGCCACGGAGTGTTTGTGTGTGCGGAGGATGGCACTGGTTAATTGCTCTCGAAGGAAAAACATGAAAAACAAAGTAGGGGAACTGAGCAAAGGGGATGTGTGCAGCAGAAGAGGTAAACTGAAAAGATATGAAATGATCAAATGCAAAACCAGGGATCTGTGATTTGGGAATACCGTGACTGGATGTTCTTTTTCTCCTAGGGTGATGACAGCTCATAAAATTGTGCTGCTTGACCAACGTCAGCTCGCAGAATGTTATGAAAGCTTTCTAAAATGTATTGCTTGATTTGCTAAAAAAAAAATACATTCTTGCTGCCATTGCTGCACTAACAGAATAATTGAAATTGAGTCTGAAGTATGATGTTAATTTGATTTAAAAAAAAAATCAGTTCTGGCACTGCCACACATCGATCACGATTAAAAGGGATTGATTTTATTTCCCATTAGGTAATGAAAAATGTGGTTCTGGATTTTAGTAGGAATTAAGAATCCATTAAATATTGAGGTGTAAGAGTTGGCTATTAGGAATGATTCCTGAGAAATATCTCTCCCCAACTTTTTCTAAACACAAAAATCCACGGCATTTTTTAATATACCAGACCTTTGCACTGAATCATGGTGCTAAATATAGTGCAGGTTAAGGAGCTGTGAAATTTGTCCTGGAGTGCTGAAGAAAATAATGTGAAGTATTTTGCCTTTTCCATTGCAGTGAAGTGTTTCATTGCACTCAGGTGTGCTCTGCTTGATCTTTATAAGATCAAGTATTTCTGCCAGCTTGCAGCAGAGAACAGATATCACCACATCAGATGTGCGTGTTTTACATGAGCCTGACAAGAAAAAGAGGTGAATAATTAAGAAAATGATCTTTTTTTTTTTTTTTCTTGAAAGAATCTTCTAAAGAACATTTTTGTCTCAGAAGATTTGGGGTTTTTGTCTTCATCCAAGATAAACAGCATATTCTGCTTTTTCACATCTATAAATTGATACTTTTTTTTGGGAGGGGGGAAGATGCAGCCATGACTTTAGAAAAAATGATGGAAAGCAGACAAATTAGGGCAGTGAGGTCTCTTGGCTGCCTCTGCAGAGCATAAAATGTAGAGAGATTAAGAGCTGGGGAATTCCCAGGGTTCTGTGGTAAGTGATTAAATACGGATCTTCAGCTCTGAGCTTGTGTGTCTTGACTCCATTGAGTCAAGAGCACTCATCACTAGACAAAAGTCAAATTTCAGTTGTGAAAAAAAGTGCCCAGGTACTGGTGATCTTCAGGGAAAGATGACCTCTAAATGTGCATTCTTTTCTCCCTGGTGGCTGTAGGAGGAGTGTTGCCTGTTGGCACTTCTGTCAGGATGTCTTTCTGGTTGGGGTGAGTGTAAACAACTTCAAGCAACACAAAGCAAATTACGTCCTTCCAGTTCTCTTTCTAGTCTGAGAGGTAGCTTTTAGTTCTGCATCTCTTTGTTCACTTAATTCACAGAGAAATGATTCTTTTCCACTACTTAAACCCAAATGAACATTAATTATGTCTCTTTGCTAACATCCATCTTGGTTTCCTTTCTGCTCTTAGTTGTAGAAGCACCTCTAGTAGGATGTCTCCCTCCTCTCTGCCAAGAGACCTCCGTGATTTTTCTTCTCATTTTCTTTATTCAATGACTTTGATTTTTTTGCATCCATTTCACATCTGTGGAATGAAAAGAGAAAAAAATATCCAAAAAGAAAGAAAATGGGCCAACAGATTCCAAAGCAGTGCCCAGGTGTGCAGTGGAGAGTGATGGACTTAGGTCAAATTTGATCCCTGCTGGAGGGGGCCCATCTAGGTGGATTCAGTCCCTTATAACACATTTCTCAGGAGGCCAGCAAAAGAAGAGCTCCTGGAAAGGACTGGGATGTCTTTAGCATCCCTGGCAGGATTTGCAGGAATCCTCTGCTGTCTAATGCACTCCTGGAGATGTGGAGGAAGAAGGTAGAGCATCCCCTCATTTTATATCTCTGGGGATGGCAGACTAGGATGAAACTCTGGGCTCAGGACCAGATTGGTCACTCAATCCTAACAACACCAGGTTCCACACTTGTGCTGTAAATTGGGTTATTTGCCCTTATTTTCTCTTCAGTCGCTCTTGGACAGGTGGCCTCAGCTCCCAGCAAAGCCTTCACTGCTGAAAGAAAGAACCTACAACAGGCTGGGTGTAGTTTTCAGATAACCAACACTTCTTCCTTGGAGTGCTCGCTTTTAAACCCACCCAAACTGAAAACACAGAGAGATTTTGCATTGTTAAAGAGATTTTTTTGTCTACATCCTCTCTCAGAGGGTTCAGCCCAAGACACCAGAGGAGGGATTTCCACTGGGAATTTTCTGTTTCTATAAAAAACGCACATAAATTTAAATGAAAGAAAGGTATATGAAAAATGCACATAACTAAGCCAGAGACTGGCTATCGGCTTCTGATGCTCTTTTTGGCCTCTTTTTGTTCATTTAGATTTGAACAAAATACACAATAGGGAATCTCTGATAAATATACAACAGGGAATCTCTGGATGGACGTGTGCTCTGAATGGAAGAGTTTCCTTCCTGGAAAGCTCTCTCAGATGAACACTGAGGGGTGAAGCTTCACAAATGGCTAATCTTAGAGATGCACGTTTGAGGAGGATCTAAAAGGGGTCTGAAATTGCATAGAGACAGGACTTTCCAACAGTTGTCTGCAATTTTCCCCAAGTTTTTGTTGCCGTTCTCAGAAATTCTTCATTTAGAAGGAAGACAAGACTGATCACACCCTCTTGGGCCTTTGGGAAGTTCACCAAGTTCATCTTCAGGCCAGACTTCATAATCTGAGTAAAAAAACAGAGAAAAAAATACGCATCTCACCTCTTTTAATTGTGTATTGAAAGATTCTCCAGTTCCCTCCCATCTGAGAATGGAAACGTTCTGAAGCGAGGAGATTCAAAAACTTCTTATGTTTGTCAGAATTTTACACCCCTGGCCTGATTCTTTCCTCTTCTGCTTCATTCATCCTGAAATTCAGTTTGCTTTATCTGCCCCAGGTGGGAAACAACGGCCTGGAATGTGCTGAAAATAAAAGGAAAAGCTGAAAAAAATACAGGTGACAGGGTAACTGCTACTTAAAGATTGTTTCTCTTCGGATGATAAAAAACGACACAGAGGTGCTGTACTGCATTTTTCATCCTTCATTTTTCATGTAGAAAACATGAAAACTTTTCTTTTGAACCAATTCAAACCTTCCAGCAGTGAAAGTCACTCCTGGAAGAGGTTCTGAAGTTGGATAAAAAGCCAGCACCTCATTTTATGGTTTCCATGTAGCTTTTAATATAGAAAATATTGTGGTAGCCCTATATAAGTGGAATGGAAACGGTTTTATTTCTTACAGAAAGGTGGGGTTTTTTTAATGATGGTTTTATTGGTTTTTGGGGTTTTTTTAAATTTTTTAATTAATATCCTGCTTAGAGATTAAGGGAATGAGACATGGGTCCTACTCACATAAATGACAACAGAAATGCTTCTGAAAATCTGTTCTGTGTTAAAAATCAGGAAGAAGTACCTGTTCTGCCAGGACTATTCTGCTACTATCAGATTTTAAATTTTTTTTTAAATTGCTAATCACTGATATTTTTATTTGCTGTGCACACAAAAAACAATTGGATCTTCTAGAGTATAGAACATAGAGAAAAATTAGACAGGTGTGAAAAATATCAACCTTATGGATAAGCTTTAAATGTGGGACAGTATTTTTCCTCTACCTGAAGGCCTATAATCAAAACATGATTGCATCCTATATGGTGTTGGAATTTTTTTAACTTATGAACTTTTGTTTCCTTTCTCCTCTTTAGCAGCTTGACTTGTTCTAAATAAATGCATTCCTTTGTCATGGAAAGGTTCCATCTTAATTCAAAATGCACTATTTATTTCCATGAGCTCTTTTCTTCTTTGTTATTTTCTGCTTGGAGAAGACAAACTTTTGGGCCAAGTTCTTCTTCTTTCTTGGCTTCAGGCAGGGCACAGCCCTGTATGTTCAGCTTTTAGGATTCTGTGGAGGTTGTCATCCTCCCACCAGGAATTATATCCATGAACAGCTGGAGTTCATTTCTTCAGGAGAAAAGCAAATTACATGGCTGTAATTCTTCTTCTCTGAAGAAACCATTAAATACAGATCTTCCCTCATCTTTTCACTCTTGTACCAAAGGCTCTCAGTTTGTTAGGAAGGCTATTGCACATCTCAGGGCTTATCACAGAAATACTCATTTCATGCCTCAGTGAGAGTCTTTAGAGTCTTTTTTGAATGGTCTCTCTTGAAGAGTGCTCTGTCACCTGGGTTAGACCCTGAGAACCCAAGATCTGTATTTAATTCTACTTTTTTAGAGCATCCCAGGTGAGTATTTAATGTGCCATGTCACCAGTGCTTTGAGCCATGTGGTGTTTCCATGAGCCTGAGCTGACGATCCCCTCGTGCCCTGCCCCACGTGCAAACTCACCTCACATTTTATTTACTGTGATTTACCCTTGATTCACTGTGAGATTTGCACTGGACATGTAATTCTGCTGCCAAAACCAAAGCTCTCCAACGTTGTGGGGACTGCTGAACACTGCCCAGCCCTGGGTGGGCACAGAGAAATGGTACCAGGGCTCAGACAGAACAAACCTGGGCTTTGCGGAGGAAAATTCACTGTGATAATTGCACAACAGTAACCTGGGATCCCTTTTCCAGCTGGGTGTCGTTGATTATTCCCATAAAAACACGCAGGAAAATAAACAATGATGGCCAAAGGCAGGATTAAGTGAGGGAAAACATCCATATTAATAAAGATGCAGCCCTACAAATTGGTTTTCTCCTAAGTTTGACCACAGCAGAAAATCATAAATTCATTCTAGTGCTTCCCACTTGGAAAATTTAGGAGGGTTTGCACCAAGATTTGTGCTGTTTAAATTGATAAAAATGCCACCAATTTGCCTCTTTCTAGGCTGGGAATCTCCAGAGATGTGGGTTGTGTGGTCTGGTAGCAGTGGGTTACTTCACACAAGTAGTTGTTTGAATTCCTGCCGTGGATGTTCCGCTGTTGTGGTTGCACCCATGCAGCCCAGAGGACATTTTGGGGTGTAGGGATTTGTGGGATTTACTCCTGGCTTTCCCTCTGTACCCAGAGCCTGCTTTTTATGGGTTTATACTGATGCCAAAGATGCCTTCAAATACTCAGCTCTGTTTTTAACTCGCCCTCTGTGTTGGGGAATAAAAGGAAGGTGCTCAGTCTGGGTCTGTCAAACAGGGAATACAGCAGGCATATGAAAATAAGAGGAAAATTGTGATGTTTTTTGCTGCAATAGCCAATCCAGTTCCACATCATTTTCTGGGTGCTTTTTAGTGCTCTGTATAAAGATAAAATATGAATACTTTTAAATCTCCAGTTACAAAACTCCAACATTCTTTATCACTATGCTAAATTTTTACATATTTTCATTACAGAAAAAGTCAGATAAAATAGTGGAATAATTATTTTATCGAACTAGTGTACTGACAACCCTGGGTTTGTAGAAAAACAGAGTCATATATTGAATTTTAAAATTTTTGTGTTTTGGTTGAGTGTCATCCCTGACCCCATCCCCCAAATTCCAATTGAGTGACTGAATTTTCCTCCCCCTGGAGAGACATAACAGCATAATTTGAAACTCAGTAGGAAAAAAAGAGCGGAGATTAGTTACATCAGGTATTCCAGCTGATTTTATTTACCTCTAAATAAAATGGTTTAAACTTTAAAAAACCTGTTATTTCAAATCTTCTACTTGTTTAAAGTGATGCAGCTCCCCCGCCTCCTACAGAGCTGCCTCATTTTATCCAGCCAGAAAATTTGAATCATTTCTAAAAGCCCTGAAAAGGGGCACCTCGGTTCCAACGGGAGTAGAAGCGCGTGCACGGTTGATTTGTTGTTTTTCATGATTATTCCTGTCAGTTATGCAACTGTATCCATACTTTAAGCAACTTGTCTCGTTCTTTCCTCCGTTACAGATCGAAGTAGTCAATACTTTCAAGAGTGGCACTTCCTTTCAGGGGGCTCTCAGGAGACAGTCCTCCGTCACAAGCCAGACCCAGGATGTAACCAATATTTCTAGCCCTAGTCACGTATCGTTATCCAATGCTCTTTCCTCTCCTACCAGCACCTCTGCTGCTGCGGCTGGGCGTGAGTGTGAATTCTTACTGCACCCGACCCTCAGAGATGCCAACTTAGCCAGAGTGGCCTCAAATTCAGCTCCTCTGCCCCTCCCCAGGCGCTGCTCCCACCTGAGCCAGCTCCAAACCCCGTGACATGATTACTTTGTGTACAGTAGATGCTCCCCAGGAGTTGTTCTCTCTTTGTCTCTTTGCTAACTCACAGTGAGGGCAGGAATTTATGGGCATTTTTTAGCCATTGTGAGAGGATTTTAATTTTATTTGAGGGCTCTCTGTCAGGTTTTCTTTTTTCAGGTTTTATTTTCTACTGCTTCTAAAATACAGACTTTTAATGATTCTAGAGCTTTTCAGATACCAGATAATTCCACCAGGAAGACTCTCCGTAACTCGCATGGAAATGAAGGAATAAGTAACAGGAAATCTAGTTTATGATGCCAGGCTTAAACTTCACATGAAAGAGTAAAGGCTTCTTTAAGTTTATCCTATTTTATTTAGTTTCAGATATATTATCTCTGTCTTATTTAGCTTTAGATTCCTTATCTCTATCCTATTTAGATTTATTATCTCTGTCTTATTTAGATGTAGATTTATTACCTCTAAATTCACTGGCAGGAAAGCATTGAAGCAGGAGGGACCTAGACAAGTTAAAGGACAGCATTGAAACAACAAAATCAGTGTAACAAATTTTTTAGAAGAAACAGATTTCCGAATCCTAATATCCTGACACAGTTTGGTTTAAGATGCAAAATATCTACTGAAGAAATAATGCAAAATATCTACTGAAGAAGTACTGAAATGAATGAAAAATGTTTGAGGCAGCTGATAAGGCTGCTTCAGTAACAGAAAAATTCCAGTTGCTCAGAAAGATCTAACTGTTTCTAGATTTTTATTTATTAAGGACTGTGAGCAGCTATTTTTATTACAGCATTAAAAGAATATTTAAATGTGTAGAACTCAGTTTACAAGCCTGTCACACACTTCAGAAGATAATTGGTTATATTCCTTATACAAGTTTTAGTACTTCGCCAAACAGAGAAGAAACTGCTCTTATCTGTCTGGCCAACAGAGAAAGGGAAGGCAGACAGAGAAAAGGCAGACACGAGAAGGGGGTAAAATTCCAGAACTCCTGCAAGAAAATGGAAGCTTGACTTTTCCATTCTGTTTGAGTGCAAACCCCATCAGTATTTGCACACCAAACATTGAAACATGACTTTTATAGCAGCAATTAAAATCTTATCAAACAGTCACAAATAGTCTCAGAAGTATTTGTCCATCAGACAGATCTCTGAAGGGTATTTTTGCTTTTTTTCATGTCTGGTTGATTGGTTGGTTGGTTTTTAAAGCATTTTCAAGCAAGAGCAGAGGGCAACACCAGAAGGTTTGTTGGATTTAAAGAGAAACTTCATTTTTGCTAAAGCTATTTAGGTTACAACTTTGGCAGTTGCTTCTTGGAGATTTTTCTATATTTTTCTATTTTTGTCTTGGGAAATTTAGCCTGAGAACTTTCACCCCAACAGCCCCAACTATTCCAGGGCAGTTGCAGGATCAGGGGAAGTGAAGCCATGGAAGTTCCTGAGCCCAGGTTCCCTCATTTCCACACTGAGCAGCACACAAAACCCCAAAATCCCAAAGCAGCTTTTCATCCAGGGAATGATTGCCTGGGATAGAGTTTCTCTATCTGAGCAGGAAACTGGGAGCAGGTCATTGTGCTGTGGGAAATGTTTCCTTAACATGCTGTGGCCAGCACTCTGGGAGGAAAGATCTAATAAAATTTAAATAGACAATTTATCTTCCCTCTCTACTCTCCACTGCAACAAAGCAAGAATTGGATTTTATTGTGCCTTAACAAGGGCCTCACTCATTTATGGGCTGAAGTTAATTAATAGGAGCAAGCAGAATCTGCTCCAGCCTTTGTCACCTTTCATTTGGAGAAATAAAACAGGTGTCCAGAGCTCCTCGTGGTTATAGCCAAGTTTCTTCACTAAAATAAAAGCCAGGTGATTGATTTGTTAAACTTCCCAGAGATAAGGATCTCCACGTCAGAGGGCTATTAGAGATTGGGATTTTAAAGTGCTTATTCTGGACTGTTGGTGCTTTATTATCACAGCTGAATGTCTGCTGGTATTAAATCAGAAATTATAACACTTAGGGAAAGTTTTGATTTATTCACACAAAGACACAAATTTATGAATGGCAGTGAAAAAAACCCATCAAGTAAAACCCCCATGGTTTTTATTTTTAAATGGGGTATTTACAGTGGGTTGCTCATATTCAAGAACCTGGAAAACCTTTCCTAATACAAATTTCATAGAAATGGGGGATGGTTTTGTGAATTGACATTTTCTGAGGAAATCCCAGTTGCAAAATGCTCACCTAGGGCTGCTCTCCACCTCTGTGCTTAAAGTGTGTGTGAGCACACAGGACTGGCTGCTTTCCTCTGAGCTGCTCAGAACAGCTCAAACCCCATTTTCTTCTTCCTATGGGGTGGAAGAGAATAATGGGATAATTGTATTTCTGTTTTTGAAGCCTTTCCCAGTCTTCAGGATTGTTGAAAATAGATGTAAATGTATTATGGGGAGTATCAAGGGAAAACCTTGAGAGTGTAGGAGGGAAACAGGGTTTAGCTCTTGAAACTTGCTCAGGATGTTGCAACAACTAGGATATTTCAGGTGGCATTTTGGGTGCCCAAAATGGAGGGGGTCTGATATCAATAAATACTTAATTAAAAAAATAGGAATCACATGATGCTCTACTGATAGTTCAGTCTAATTCAACACAGCATTTATGAAGCTCTTTACTAATTGTGTTACTAATTTTTAATATAATGTTCATTGTGACATCTTACCAATCTGTGAGATGTCTCCTGCAGGTTTATAGTAAAATTTTGGATTTTTTTTTTAATGGAATGTTTTTCTAGTATTTTTGGGCAAATTTATATTTGATTCAAAGCTTAGTGCTTGCTTAAAGAGAAATCTGCCTGTGGAATGCATCCACCCCTAGAGTGGTTTGTGAAACAGGTCAGCAAGTTATTACCTGTAATTTGCAGCTATTTACAAATATGGCCCATTCAGAGTTGTGGAATCCCTTAATTAAAAGCAGTTTGTAAAAGGGAATATTGAATACAATACTAAAGCCTCCCTAGTGAGCCACCAGGGTGTTATTTGTAATAACAAATGACAAATTTCTGGATGTCACCATTAATGGATAACAGGGAGCTCTGTGAGTCTCTCATCTCTTTAGAAAGACATTGCAGCTTTAAATAGAGCAAAAATTTCTGCAAATTAAAACTTGACATTTTCAATATTCTGATCAAATTATGAAATTCATTTAAATGCACACTAAATATGTGCACCTGTTTAATATGCAAACCTTTAAGCTACTGAAAATGAAAATATGGGGAAGTTAAGCAAGGTGGTCTCAGATCTTACACACACAAACCTCCATCATTTGAAAGCTCTGCCACTGCAGAGTTAAGGGTGGGTTCAGCTACAACATTTGGTGGATTTGTGTTTTATATGCATTTCTTTCTATGTTTTATTTGGAGGGAAAAAACCCCAGAACATTGGGGCAGTGCAACATCCTTTTTTTCCTTTTCAAGCTCAGAATTAGTAACACCAAAAACTATCTTGTTCTTAAAACTGAGTATGTGATTAAAGTTTTCAGCACTAGATTTTTTAGTTAGGTAGAGGGTGAGAATATCTAACTGTACACAAAGTAAACAAGTCTTTATCCTACTCTGTGTATTCCTGGTTCTCAGATGTTTGTGTTAGCAATAGGTAACCCCTGCAAAAGAGCACAGTTGCAGATTTTCCAAGAAAGACACACATTTAATATTCCTTTGTACTTGCTCTTCCTCTCATTGTCATATGGAGCTCATACTCTTCCCAAGTGGAACCAGTCAGGAACTGCAGGTCCCTGCAAAAAAAATCTCTCCTTTCTTTCAAAAAAACATTCTAATTTTTAAGTTTAGGGAGCATTGGGGGAACAACAAACAAGCCAAACCAAACCCAAGCAAAAGAGACCTCCCAGAGTTCCCTTTTCTTGGTTCTGATGAGAACTGTCTTGTCAGAGGTTTCTAGAAGTGAATATTTAAAGCAATCACTTGAAACTTTTTATTACATGAACCCCAGCAGCAGTGGCCTCAAATGACCCACTTGAAAGGTGGGACAGGAGAAAACAGAGTCACAACTCCAGATTTTATAGCAGCAGTTAAAGCCTCACCAATCAACCACAAAACGCTCTCAGAGGTATTTGTCCATCATACAGATCTCAGAAGGGGTTTTTTTGGCTTGTTTTTCTGTCTGGTTGATTGGTTGGTTGGTTTTTAAGAAGTGTCTTCCTGCAAGAGCAGAGCACAGCACCCTTAAGGCTGGATTTGTGTTCTGCCTCCCTTGGAGGGGCCACAGCCTCCAGAATTGGGGCTTCACTTGCTGGGCAAGAAAACCTTTCCCATTCCCCTTTTAATCAAAGAATGGTTGCAGCTTCTGAGATGTGCCAAGAACGTGTCCTGTGTAGAACATTCAGCATTTGCTGGGGGTGGCATGAGGGCAGGAACTGCCATGGACAGGTGGAGGTGTCACCCAGGGCTTTGCTGTGGACTGGCACAAGGCCACGAGCATCTGCAAATTGTGTGAGGCACTCAGCAAGCTCAGCTCCAGTGGCTCTCACAGCCCATTTCCCAAGAGATCATCTTAAAGACTCCATGTAACTGTTTGCAAGCTGTTATGTATGAAGAGCTTCTATATTTCTTGCATATTTAATTTTCTATGAAAGAAATAATTCAGAATTCAGAGTTAAAACTTGAAGCAAAGTCTTGTTTGGATGAATTTTTTTTTATGAAGAAAAATGGGAACTAATTTATTTTAAAGAAATCATCTATTTTAATAAATGTTGAGGCAAAGATTGCTGCTCAGTATCGATCTACA